TGCAACACCGAGTTCATTAGAAGAGAAGGCGCAGAAATGGGATAATACAGGAAAATACTTTTAAAAAAAGAAAGAAGATCAAAAGCTTTATTCACCTTGAAGGAAATAGACAGGAGTTTGTTCCCGATTCTATGCATGCCGTAGGAGAATTCGAATTTTCTGAATTTGGCTCCGAAATGCGAGTGTCCCAGTTGAAGAAAAACAAAGTGTTTCATCCTATGCATTTGGATTTTTTTGATTTAATTATAATTGGGGGTGTCGCACTTACTCCCTCCTCCTCCGTCCGGGACTTGGGACTCATTACTGATTCCTCTCTCAAATTCTCTGCTCACATCAACAAAATCACATCTTTAGCTCTTCTCCGTTCCAAACAACTCTTAAAGTCATTTAGATCTAAGTCTCCAGAATTCTACATACATCTTTTCAAATGTTATGTTCTCCCGATTCTTGAATATTGTTCTGTAGTTTATTCCCCTCCGCCTTCTTCTCGCCTTGCTCTAAAACTAGAATCTCCCTTAAGATTTTTCTCTAAGTGTATTTTCCAGCGTTGTAATATCCAGTACAGTTCCTATTCTGATCGTCTCTCTATCCTCAATATGTTCTCCATTCGACATCGTAGGCTAAAAGCTCAACTAATTCTTCTCTATAAATTTTTAAATGGTTCCGCNTACTTTCCTAACGTAAATGCACATGTCAAATAATCCTCCTCCCCTCGTCGCCCTATGAACTTAATTAATGTTCAGCCCTACTCCTCTGACTATTTTTCTTCAATTGTTCCCCTGTGGAACGCCATCACTTCCCAAGTTACCCGATTTCTCCTACCTTCCGAGTTTGAATCCTTAATTTCTTCCAGTATTACCCGTTATTGATATATTTGCTCCCCTATTTTTCTTTTTCTACCGGTTACATCTTTCCTGTGTCAAATATCTAAATTATCCCGTTTCCCCTCCCCTACTCACATCGGCCTCGTGAGGGGCATTTTTTTCTGAGTTTTTCATGTCCTGCCCTCTAATGTTTTATTACACCTGATCAATAAACAAATTAAATTAAAAAAATCCAGGAATTTCCCCCGATTTTTGCGAATTTCGGTACTTATGCTCAGAGCTTTTGTTTTTTTTCTTAATTAAAGAATCTGGCGGAAACGCGTTGTTTTCCTTTTATTGGATCATTCGAAAAATAGTTTCAATTTCAAAGAATTTGAGTGTTGGAATTTCAGTGCCATAGTGCACATCTAGTTTATTTTCCCTTTTGAACTCATCTCAAAATCCCTCTCTTCTCAATACAAAATTTTGGCATCTAACTCCCTTCCAGTTTTTGTTTTATGATGTAGTTTATACGGTCAAAAGTCATGTGCCACTGGAAAGTTGTCATTTTCCTTTTTCCATGCACCACCATCTATCATTTTGACCCTTTTCCCATTGCATCATAATCCACCCGCACCCTTTTCTTTCATGCCGCCACAATACACATTATCAACGGAGTTGTTGGTTTAGGGGCTCTTTTTTTGCTCGTTGTCTTTTGAATGTCTTTTTCTTCTTATCTAAAAATGTGTTATCTGATTGAATTTAGAGAAAAAACGGACCGTCTCTGGGGAGAAGAGAGACAAAACAGCTAATAGCTAAAAGGGTAACAGATTTCAAAGAGGATTCTAAATGTTTTCACTGGAAAAACTATTCCTAACACAGTTTTAACTGGAACTCAAAGAGCCCAAAAATAGGAAAAAAGAGCGATCCAAAAGAATATACATACTCATTCATTTGTCATTTTTCGTTGTGGTGTGCGCGAAGAACAAGAGCACCATGGGATTAGAAAGTAGGGAGAGCCAAAACGCAAAATGGTTGGTTTTTGGGAGGGCATGAAATCGAGAGTTTTTGGGAATTCGGGAAAAGGAGGAAATGTGAGAAAAGTTGAGGAACAAAAAAATGAATTATGAATTTTCAGTTTGGACTGGAACGATCGAGCATATTTGGATGGAAACACTTTTGGATCAATGGATAACCACAACGACTGGCAGGCTCCAAGGTAAGAAGTTTGAGACAATCTGAACTGACAAGAGAATCTTTTCAAATGTCCTCTGGGAGTTGGCAGGAATATCTAGCTCCCGTACTCATCCGCACGCTGAAAAACTTCGTCTGAAAATGTTTGACCCATTTAGGCACTTACTTACACGATATTGCTGAACTTTTTTTCTCAAGCTCTCAAAGGACCTCTTAAAAATGTTCTCCTGTTAGTTTCACACATAATACAAAAAGTGGAAAGTTGCATTCATCAAAGAATCTATTCGTTACTGTATAAAATACAGAATTCTTGGAAATTCGGTCGGCGAAACATTTTGTAGGTTCCAATTTTTTTCTAATAATCAAAAAAGTTACTATCGGCCAACCAACTCTGAACATCAATAAACCCACCAAGCTGTTGCGAGCTCCCAACACAATACTCCAATTCCCTAAATTCCTAAAAAACGTACAAGTCGTTCAACTACTCTCTTCTTCAATTGTCTTTCCGCCATTTCCTTCTAATCGAAAATTGCAGACTAGTTGCCGGTGAATGGAGTACATGCTCATCGACTTGCGGAACTGGTGTCATGTCGCGCACCGTTGAATGTGTAGCCGTCAATCCGATCTCTTCGGCACCCATCAAACTTCCAATGTCTGAATGCCAGGGTATGTGAAATGAATTCAAAAGAAAAGAAGAAGACGTTTTGGTTTTTTTTATTCAAAAGCATTATTAACGAATGGCTGAATTTCGGAATAGAAAAAAAAAGAAAAGATTCATCAGGCGACCTGCATAATTAAATGGATTTTTTTGGAAAAGAGGTCATAGGGAGGAACTTTTTTGCCAAGAAACTGAAGGGGTGTTAAAAATGTCTTTCAGATCAAGAACAACCGAAATTATTTGAATCATGCGAAGTCCGTAGTTGCCCTCTTCAAGAAGATTCCAAGCTCACTGAAGACGAAGCTCCTTATCAATGGAGATATGGTGATTGGACTCAATGCAGTGCATCTTGCCTCGGAGGAAAACAGAAAGCTGCTTTGAAATGCATTCAAGTTTCAACTGGAAAGTCAGTCCAATGGTCTCAATGCGATGCTCGTCGACGTCCACCAGAGAAGAGCCGTCCATGTAATCAACATCCATGCCCACCGTTTTGGTTGACTTCTTCGTATTCGGAGTGTTCGGTTTCTTGTGGAAGTGGAACTGCTCAAAGAAGTGTGAAATGTGTCAAACTGTTAGCAAAACCGACGGTGCTGATGCTCACATAATACTTCGAGATGATAGATGTCACTTCAAAAAACCACAAGAGACAGAGACATGTAACGTCGTGGCTTGTCCTCCAACCTGGGTGGTGAGCTTTAATTATAAGTTTAGATGCAGTTGAATACATTTTGGTTCAGACTGCACAATGGACAGAATGCTCTCGATCGTGTGATTCCGGAGAACGACGTCGGCAGGTTTGGTGTGAGATCAAAGATTCGAGAGGAAAAACTCAACGTCGTCCGGATATTGAATGTGATGCAAATACGAAACCACAGTCAGTTGAAGTGTGCAGTTTTGGATCGTGTTCTCGACCGGAACTTCTCACGAATCGAGTATTTGAGCAGAATGTTGAACAGAAGAAGCTGACTTTGGGAATCGGAGGAGTGGCTACTCTGTATCAAGGAACAAGTATTAAGATTAAGTGTCCAGCGAAGAAGTTCGATAAGAAAAAGATCTATTGGAAGAAGAATGGAAAGAAGATAAAGAATGATGCTCACATAAAAGTGTCAGCAAATGGAAACTTGAGAGTGTTCCATGCAAGAATGGAAGATGCTGGAGTATATGAATGTTTCACTGATAGACTTCAAGGAAATGTCACTTTGAATTTCAAATATAGAGATTTCCCAGCTACTAGAACGGATTTACCGCAGAAAGTTCAACTTCCAACTAACGAAAACCAGCAACGGCCGCCTATGAGTAGAGAAGACCAGATTCGTGAGCAAGCATCCGTGCTTCATAAGATGAATGTTTCCCTGATCGAAGGATTGCTGACAGCTCCAAATGATGAAAAAGCACGGGAACAACTGAAGAAATACGGTAACGAATTGGTAGCAAGATGGGATATTGGACACTGGTCAGAGTGCAGACAGAAAACATGTCATGTGGCTGGATATCAGGTGAACAGTGGAAGTTGGCAAACACAAATATAAATTTTCAGGCTCGCGGTCTATCCTGTAAGGTAACCTTCCATGGGGAAACCAGAAATGTGGATAACTCAATTTGTGAATCACTAGCATCTGTTCGTCCGCCAGAAACCCGCCCATGTCACAGAGAAAACTGTCCAAGATGGGAAGCATCCAAATGGTCAGAATGCTCTTCTCAGAGATGTGTCAGCAGTATGTTGGCACAGAAACGAAGAAATGTTACTTGTCGTTTCACGAATGGAACATCAATTGACATTCAGCATTGTGATATCACAAATCGGCCATCTACCACAATGGATTGTCCAAATCGTAAGTCGCATCATGCTAATTAATTCTGATATTTTTTTTTCAGAAAACTGCAAAGCTGAATGGAGAACTTCTGATTGGGGATCTTGTAGCTCGGAATGTGGCACAGGAGGTGTTCAACTCCGATTACTATCCTGTGTTTGGATATCTTCTGGACGTCCAGCAGGAAGAAATTGTGAGCAGATGAGACGTCCTCATTCAGCAAGAGCGTGTGTAGCTGATGAACCACTTCCACCTTGTATGCCAACTGCAAGTTCTCTTTTCCAAAGAGGTTTTTTCTCGATTTATATTTTATTTGTTTTCGCTGATCTTCATATTTCTAGACTCTTCGTGCCAAGACCAATCTCGTTTCTGTGACATTATTAAACTGTTCCATTCGTAAGTTTACCTTTTTCTCTCTTTTAACTGTCAAATGCTTAAAAATGCACACAAAACAATCGGCACCTATCGGAAGATTGTGTTTGTTCTATCACTTATTCTATTCGATTCGTCACCCCCAATCCATCAAAAACATTTCGATCAGGCGAAAAATAACTCGGTTTACCTAACTACAGTAATCCATCCTAACCTTATTTTCAGATGCGATTCATTGGAAGTCCGCCAAAAATGTTGTTCTACGTGTACTTTCGTCGAGCGAAAGAAATTTTAACTAAATCTTCATTTTTTATAAAAATGTTTTTTTTTGTTTTTCAACCTAATTTCTTCAGATATTTATTTATTTATCGACTAATTTATTGGTTTTTATGTATGTAGTTGATAGAGTTGTTTCATCCCACATTCCAATGTTCATAATATTTTTTTTTTAAGAGAAGATTTTTATTTTTGATTCCGCATAAAACTTTTCAAATACCCGCCAGGGGATCATTATTACATACAAAAAATTCAAATTTACAATCGAAAAAAGAGAAAAAGATTTCAGAAAAAATTAAATTGTGATAGGAGTTGCAGCTGCGCCTAAAGCGAGTTGAATGTGATTGGCCCGTTTCGTTGAATAGGTGTCGTGTTGGATTGCAGCGATCGAAGGTGTGAAAGAGAATAAGATGTGATGATGATGATGAAGACGTCTTGAAGTGGAATCAAAATGTGTGAAGCGGTAGATTTAACTTCAAGACTCTTCGTCTGGGATAATAATAGATAATCACGAGAGATTGATTATTTTCGGATAAGTTTTGAGTACCAGCAGCTGGCCACTGATGGAATAATCTGCAAAATACAAATTAGTGAATTGAAGAGTGTAATTTTTCAGCACACCTGTACAATAGCATTTGTAATGCATAGCCATGAAGCCACGTTCATAACATGAAGTAAATCATTTTGAAGAGGTTCGTAGCATGTATTCGTGTAATACGGAGCTGGTGATCCGCTGTCGAACGGATTAGAACGACACCGATCGATTTCGGATGGGATGCAGCTAGAAATCAGAAATTGTTTATTAGGCCGTTTTTTAAAGATATACAAATCATTTTATTTTTACTTTTTCCACGAGTCTGGAGCTCGGCTGTGAAGTTTCCGAGCAGTTTGAAAAATTTTGATGGTGTGAAACAGACAGAGATGGAAAACTCTGCATTTACAGAATTTAGTAAAAATTACTAGTTTTTCAATAATTACCTATTTCTGAACGACCCCACTCGTGTTGTACTGGGAACATGAAAAAAAGGTATTTTTTTCAGAAATTGGCAAATAGCTGAAAAACTAGGAATTTTCAAAAAGTTCTGTAAATGCAGAGTTTTCATCTGTTTCACAACTTCCAAATTTTTCAAAGTGGTCGGGAACTTAACAGCCGAGCTCCCTACTGTATATTTTCCAATTCAAACTTGTTACTTTTTCCCTAAAAATTCAGAAAACAAAACTCACCAAGACTCGGGAATAAGACTTTTTGGAGCCTTTTGATGCATGTACCACTTTGATGTCTTCCAAATTTGGGCGTCATCAGTACCATTGACACCGCAGCATTTGAACTAAAGTACATTTATTTTTTCTCTTAATGAATTTTTCAAAAAACTCACATTGGATTGAAGAGCATCCCAAGACTCTGTGATTCCTTTCATGTCGTGTGTTCCATAAAGTTCTCTGAGAGACGTTAGCATTTTCAGGTTTAGCGGAGTATAATGGGTCAATTGATCGCGGAAATTCAATCCGATCAAACCACCAATGATCAGCATTACAGCGATAACAATTGAAGCAACTGCACACTGAAATTTGGATAAATCAGATCTTCTGAATCAATAAAAGAATAAACTCACCGATGTGACAATACACCTCATTTCCTTGAAAATTGCATAAAAACATATCAGATAGTTAGCAATTGAAAGGATACTGATAATGACAAGAATTCGTCCCACGTCTACATAAAGCGATGGGGATACAAGTTCAGCATATTGGGAACGTCGAGCCAGGAGCCAAATGCCATAACATATACAGCTTATGGAGAAGAGCTGGAATTTGTTCTATTGATAGTTTTCTTTTTGTAAATTGAAGATTCCACATCCTACAGTCTTTTGTTTTTTGTTTCGAACAAACCACAATCACTTGAGATTGTCATTTGGTGAGAAGAACTCTTCGGCTCTTTTCTTTTTAACTTTCTTTTTCTATTTTCATCTTTCCGTTCCTTTTTTCTCTCTCGCATTTTTTGTTGCTTCCTTCCTCTCAAAAGTTCAAATAGACATCATTTTTTTCATTTTTTTCACAATATCTGATCAGCTAGATATGAAAAGAAAGAAGAAGAATAAGGAACCAAAAATATTTGTGACGGTGTGTCTATTGACCCTTTTTTCTCTCAAGGTTATCAAAGTCTAATTTGCATTGTTTTTGTTGAAATTTCGTTTTGAAATACGAAAATTAAAATTATGCACTTACAATTGAAATAAGCGCTGTAACGATGTATGAGAACTTGACCAACCGCCCACGGGCTCCATATGCACTATTACCAAATGCTCCCATTTATATATGTGTTTTTTAATCTGGAAAAAATCGGTGTTGATTATAGAGAATCAACCAGAAAGTTATCATTGAAATCATTGAATATCATTGAATTGAAAGATCGAAATTTAAAAAAAAAATCAAAGTTAGGTAGATTTTTGATACAAACCTGTATTAGAAGGACTCTGGCACTGTTAAGATTGAGCTTATTTATCTAGGTTCCTATGAAAAATATTTGAAATGCGTAAACTGATAACATTTTTGTGATATTATTATAAACTATTTATCAGTTGACAATTTTTAAATACCTTTGACGGGAATCGAGATATATTTGCTCAAATTTGAAAGCTAGGCGGCCTAGAGGTTTTACGGTGTTCTAGGTTCACAGTGAATTTGAAGCTATACGTGATAAGAGATAGGTTCATTTGACCATTAAATTGGTAGAATAATAAAGGAGGATTCTGTTTTCTGATCGAGGGTTGTGTACTTCTGCCCATTTTTTCGCAACAAACGTGTTATATTATCATATCAGAAAGCCAAGAATGTCCTTTTTTGACAGTAACGTCTTCTTTAAAGACAAAAAAAAAGTAGAAAAGGGGTCGAATCGAGAGGAATGTGGCAGTTTGGGCAATTGCAACAGAACACGGACAAGAGGGAAAAGTAGAGAAAGAATACGAAAAACTAAACCAATTAAAGAAAAACCTTGAGAACAAAAAAAGAAAAATACCGTCGGCGGCGGGGGAAAAAAGAAGGGAGGAAGCTTTGGCAAGAAGATAACAAGATCATAATTCGAGATATGACGGATCGGAAAATATATGGCAGGAGGTGGAGAATTCACACATTAATCGAAAGGTGGCATTGGCCCCAAAGGGTGCCTTATTATAATCGAAATGAAATAAATATGTGAGAGTGGGAGGACTAAGAATAAGAGGAGCGAACCGGTATTTCTAGAAGAAGAAGAGGGAAAAGAGACGAAGATGATGAAGAGAAGAAGAAGAAGAGGAAAGTATCGAATGAAATTGAGGTACGTTTTGTCTCTCTCTTCTTTTTTTTTAACCTCCATCACCCTCCCACAATCTTACCACCTCTTACTTTGCTCCGCGCGGAGCAGTAAAAGAGCAAATCGAATCATACAAATATTTACACTTTCTCTCAATTTTTTTGTTGAAAATGAGATGAAATTATATTGAGGCGGCGAGGAGGTGGAATGATCCGAAATATGTGTGAAAAACTAAGAAGAAGAACTGGTAGGCAAGAAAAATGAAGAAGAAGACTAAGACATTTCATTTATGATGATCACCATCAATAGGAGGAAGTACGGGAAAAGAAGAAGAAGAAGAAATAAAAGAATATGAACACAACTGACTGGTACTTTTTCCTTCTTCTCATTCTGCTTCGTTTTGCCAATGAAGATCGGTCCTGCGCGGAGAGAAACAGCTGACATGTAGATTTGTCGAAGCTATTGGCAGCTTTTCCTTTCCTCGATTTGCGATTTATTGTGTTTATTTCTGGCATTCTGGCCTTGTTACCAGTTGAATAGAATGTATGATTGATTGGGATATGGTTGGAAGTCAGAACATCGCAAAATTTTCAAAGTTTGCACTTGTAAAAAAAAGTTTGCACTTGTAAAGAAACTTCAAAATTTTGATACTTTTATAAGGGCGGAATGATTCAAGAAATTTTCTTTAGGAATTCAGTAATTCAATAATTATTTTCAAGAATTTTCAAAAAACCAGCTATCCGGGCTGACTGGGCCTGGTCGGACCGGAAGATTTTTTTTTCGACCCTGCCCCGATCCAACTCGGAATTATACAATGCCAAAAATGAGATTAGAAACTGACACTATATGTCAGATGTATTCTCCCAAGTATCAGCCCAATCTAGTGATCACTCTTGCTATAAGGCAGAAATCGAGATTAGAAGACACAAAAAGTTTAGCATGACTCTCGAAGGACATCTCGAATTTTTAGGCAAAAAAAATATTTGAAATAAATCAACAACACAAACATACTAAACATTCCGAAATTCCACAGTACACCCACTGAGAAAACGGAAGCGAAACTTGTTTTATGTGCACATATACACAAAGAATACTGTATCAAAAAATGCACGAACACACACTGGTTTCGAGGTCAAAATGTGGTGCGAAAAGGTTTAGTTCGGTGTGACGGTAAGACTTTATAGTTTTTGGCACGCTTTGAAACTGATCCGTGATTTGTGGAAAGTAAATAATGAAAAAATAAGAAGAGTAAGGGTTGAGAGTCGGAAAATAGGTGAAGAAGGAAGAAAAGGGGAAGGTAGGCAGATCAAAATCAGAGATAAATATTAAGAGAGTGACACTCACACACCTATGTGCGTAGGAAGTACGAAAAATGATAGGTCATATGAGCAATTTTAGGGTCACAATCTTCGAAAAATGAAAAAAGAAACAAAAATCAAATCTTAAGAGATTTATGATATCTAAAGATCAAGATATGGACAATAGTTGTCAGCTGGAAACAATTATAAAAATACGAAATCTAGTAACAGAAATCTAGAATTTTTTTTCCAAAATTTCCGCAAAAATGATGCCAAGATACTTCATAAATAGAAAACAGAACTGAAGTCCCACCTGTGCTCTAAGGGTCCAAAATATCGGAATTCAAAAATATTAGAATCTCAAAAACTCAGAATTCGTAACTTTCAAAATCTTGGAATCTCATGATTTTAGAATTTCAGAATCTCGGAACCTCGGAATTCCAGAGTCTCGGAGCCTCAGACTTTCGGAATTTCAGAATTTCAGAATTTCAACTTTTCTAATTTTCAGAATTTCAGAATTTCAGAATATCGTAAACTAGGAAATTCGAAATATCTGAAATTCGGAAGCTAGGAAAATAGGAAATTCAGAAACTCCAAAAGTTCAGAAATTCAGATTTTCCGAAATTCTAAAAATCCTAAGAATTCGGAAATTTGGAGAAATCGGAAAAACAAAAAAAATCTTAAATATCAGATTTTGGGGAACTCGAAATATTCAGTAAAAAATGTGAGAATTGTCTGGGACAAACAACCAAAATATTTACTTCTAGAAGTAAAATGAAAGTCATGTAGTTAGCTAAACCAGTACTCAGACATTCTTTGTTTTTATTTTGGTATTTAGCTCCGCCTCTTCCTTCTATTTACTCTGTCCTTTTGTTATCAGTAGGTTTTACTTCTCTTTTCCTAAAAACGGTATGATTCACAGAACGTCCGCTCCTTGTATTGTGTGGAAATTGTGTCTGTTTTTTCAATAACTAAAGCCTTATTTTCAGAGTCGGAAAACAAACAAAAACAAAAAATTCTTCAATTTTCATTCCCCAGTTAATTTCCTATTTGTTTATTTGTCTGCTTACATTGTTTTGTCGGCCAAACTTTTATTATCTTCTTTCTTATTTCCTGGGTGATGGTCAGTGTCGAAATATATATGATGTTACTCGGAAAACTTTGAGTATTTGAGAAATTTCAAAACTTTGCGACGGAGGTTTGAAGAAAAGATCAGTTGCGGAAAGTAATTGGTTCAATATTATCAAGATTTTTTGTTGTGGGTTGAAAAGTATCTAGAAAAAAAAATAAAATTTCCCGGTGTATTATTCTGGTTCATTAGTGGTCGAAGGTCCCACAACGACAACTACAGTAACCTGAAACGCACGAAAATCGAAAAAATAAGTGCTGAAAATAAATTAATATTTAGGTTACGGTAGTTTTCGATGTGGGACTTTCGATGACGTCTCTCTTCCACAGCTCAGTTTTTTGCATACCGGCATAATAAAGAGGGATATAACCTTTCAATTTGGATGGACACCTTAATTTAAGCAGAAACGGATCTTCTAATGTATTATTTATTTTTGAAATGAGAAGATACCAGCACTTTCTTATAAGTTTGAACCGTTTATCTAACACTTCTATGAATTCTTATCAGTCAGAACCTTTTTGAATTGTTGAGAATCATAGTTCTCTTGTCTAAAATGAAAACCTTCATATTCTCGAAAGCACCTAGTTCAATCCAAATATTTATTCTCCTAACACCATACCAAAAATATTTCTAAACAGGAAAGAAAACAATTCCTTTAGTAAACACGGAAAGACTTTTTTTGGTTCACAACAATCGAAATTAGGTAAAGACGAAAGGGTAATTAAGAAAGAAAAGTTAAGCTTCAATAGGGACGAGACGATTCGGTTGGATGGTTCCATGAGTCACACGTTGCTCGTAGAACCGATGACCATTGGCCGTTCGTTTGAATTCGAAAGAACGATCTCTGAAGGTACTTTTGTTCATAAATACACTGATATCTTTTTCTTAGCCTAACCGTCTTGTGAGAACTTTTTCTGCTGGACAGATATCCACATGCTTCTCAATGAAGTCACTATGCTGAGTGGTTTCTCCATAGAATTTTCCGTTTCCAACAGTCAATTCATCAGTGGCTCGTTGTAATGGAAGTTTTTCAGCTGAAATTTGTTCTCAATTAAATACTGAACTTATGATGATTCAGATAGCAAACCACTTTTTTCCTGGAATCCGTCATGGTAAGTAGTATCTGCATCGAATCGTGAAACATGTCCAGAAAACGAATCGTCCTTTGGTTTCACATTAATCACTCTGAAAAATCATTCAACTAGACAGTTTCACATTTCAATTGAAGGTCAAAAAACCATCTCTGGCTGGATTTCGAAATTTCAGGAAGTTTCGAGGTCAGACAGACGGAATCGCATAAAAGTGTCTAGAGGGAACATTCCATTCTTTTTACTTCCCATTCAAAACAGTGACAAGTCAAAAGGAATTACTCATTGAACAGGAAGAGACACACAAACAGAGACAATAGCTTTGGAAAGAATTTTATGAAAAAAGGAATACCTGACGTGCGGTTTCTGAATGAAATCGGCGCGTGTTGTTGTCGTTGAATCAAACTTTGAGGCGCCCGAAGACAATAAATTGGAAGAAGAATGGGGACGAGTCAGTTTTGACTTTTCAGCCTGTTTACGCTGAAAATCTGCATGGTTCGTGGAAACACCGTCAAACGGAGCAGCGATTGAAATTGCAGATGAATCGTTTGTGTTTCGGATAGGCAGAGAACGATCACCCTGAAAACTTTGAAAAAATGACTAATCCAATAAAGCAAAGTATCCCACCTGCATTCCCACATAGTCAGCTCTGTTTGTTGAAAGAACTAGGAATGGACTGGAAGGAGTGAGCTTAGAATCATCAGCAGCTCTGAATGGCATTTGTCGACTAGCCTGCAATCAAAAATATCGTTCTTGCTCTAATAGAAGCCTACCCAAGCCGCCAACTTTGAGTTCAATTATCTCGATTCCTGTGAAAAATATAGAAGCTTGTCAACTGATAATATTCTTGTAATCATGTACCAAACGTCTTAGCAGTAGACAAAATTTTGATATCTCTGATAGGAGCTGAGATATTGGAGCTTAATGTTGACGGTTTGACTGGGCATATACTAGAGGAAACACGGTAATCTCCCTCCTTTCAAAAAATCAGTACCTGTTTCTTGTCGAAAAATGCTCTATTTGTAGTGGTATCATAGAACGGTCCAGCTGAAAAACGACCACTTGTGAGCGCTCTTGGACGTTGGCGATCAGCCTGAATTTAGATGTTTGATTAGAAGATAAACCACAGATAAATGAAACCATTTGTTTCCGATCGTAATCCGCTTTATTGGTGGCTGTTCCATTGAATGGCCCCGTAAACATTTCTGTTCCCGAGGGCCCTCTCAAAATTTCTGATCTCTCACCCTGAAATAATTTTCTTTTTCTTATCAGTCTTTTTTCATTCAAACCTGCTTCTGATCATAATCTGCTTTATTTGTGGTTACACCATTGAATGGTCCAGAAAACATTTCTGTGCTAGTTGGTCCACGAAGAATCCCCTGTCTTTCAGCCTGGAAGAAAGTGATTCTGGAAGATGTTATAAATAAAGGCTTGCCTGTTTCTGGTCATAGTCCGATTTATTTGTAGTTTGTCCATTAAAAGGTCCTGTGAACAACTGACCCCCAGTTGCACCACGCATTATACCGGGTCGTTCAGTTTGTTTCGGATCGTAATCTGTTTTGTTTGTTGTTTGTCCATCGAACTGTCCTTTGAACATATTCGTACTCGTTGGTCCTCTCAATATTCCACTTCTTTCAGCCTAAAACCAAAAAAGGCACCTTTCAAAAACCATCATTTTTGTACTTGTTTCTTATCGTAATCAGCTCTGTTCGTAGTAGTAGAATTGAAAGGACCGGAGAAAAGTTGAGCATCTTGAGGGCCTCGAATAACTCCCGTGCGAGAACCCTTTAAAAATTGATAAGAATCATAATTAAAAATGATAACCATACTCCTTTGTAATCGAAATCAGATTTGTGAGTTGTGAATCCTTCAAACTCCCCGCTTTGCAGACCATTTGTATTAGGACGGAGAGGATTTTGACGACTCACCTGGAGAAATGGGTTTACCAATGACTAAAAATAATTCTTTTTCGAAAAGCAACTTACTGATTTCCCTTGGAAATCCGTTTTATGTGTCGTATCCGCCAAAAACTCTCCAGAATCCGCCGGACCAGAGTTAACAAACTTGAATGGAGCATTTCGGGATACCTTAAGAATTAATGTGATGCTTCGCGAATTCAGTTGAGAACCCCTTACTTTTTTTACTCCGTAGTCTTGTCTGTTAATTGTGGTTCCGTCGAAATCACCATCCGATAAAAAAGTAGCATTTTGAGAACGAGCCAGACGCTCTCTGTTAATCAAAATTACTGTAAACCCTCTGAAACCCCCCCCCCCCCCCCCCAACCCGTTAGCTTTGAGCCCATATATCTCATTTCCTGTAAACGATATCATCAGAAAGTGGTCAACTAACAAAATGTTTATCATAACTTCAAAAATATTTTGTCAGTTGACAACCTTTTTATATATTTTACAGAAACCGAGATAAATTGGCTCAAAGCTGAAAGTGAGGGAATCATTCTATTACAATGTTTAAGGTAATTAAAATATTAGATTTACTAGGCTTTTTTCAAATATTATGAAAACAAATTCTTACTTTCAAATAGTTCAGATGAATTTTACAAGCTCTCATCGAAAGTTGATAACCTAACTCTACGAACTGAATTACAGTAATCCGAAATATGAAAAACGAAACCTGGGTGCCTGCTTTGCTGGATATTGCATCCCGTATTCGGTTTGATTCTCTTCAATTCCATTTCCAAATCCTAAATCAGCATCCACATGATCACACTTGTGTCTTCTGAAACCGTTGACTTTCGACAAAAGAATAAAGAAATTGAAAGAAAAAATCTTATCAAATCAGAATCAGTATCCTTCGTTAAATTTCCAGGTGATTTGATTCAGAACTTACCCGCACTGACAAATCTGGCAGATACATTTCTCCACAACCTCGTCTGTCATCTAGATCGAATAGATGAACGGTTGTGTGGTTGGAATATAAAAACGTGAAGAAAAACGCTTGGGAAATGTTGATGGAAACAAAGAAGCTTGAGGGCACATGGAAACGGATCTCCTCTTTCTTTTTTTTTTCTTCTTCACAACGACAAGCCCACCGAGCAGTAGTAGCCATAATTCATCGCGCACTAGTGAGCACATTTCCGAAAAATACTAAAGCAGAGCTCTTTTTTCGGAGAGGAGGGAAACCATGGATAATTGCGACGAAGAGTACAACAAAAGAGTTTTTTGGGAGTAAGATTGAGTTGTGTCTGAAGATCCCCCAAATGGAACTTGGGGTTCAAAGTTCCAAAATTGCTAAATGTAGAATACTGAAGAGAATTTTGATACAACTACAACGAAATTGAAGACAAATGATAGATACCTAAAATCAAAGGAATAACATGAATATTTTTTGAGATTGAGGTTCTGGTTGTTTCTGATTTATGACTCACGGCAAAAATTTCCGGATTCTGGATTTCTTTTTTTTTCTATCTGGATTTCGTAATTCTTATTTGTCCGGATTCCAAAGAAATTATTTATTTACGGATCCCTTTAAATTCGTACCGGACATCATCTGGTTGTTGCAGTGGAAGTAATAAAAAGAAGTTATGGATCAATCGACAATCTTTTAATGTCTGCTTCTTTCTTTGATAAATTCCCTTTTTCATTTTTAATCCCTATACACAGTACCGGTCTATAAGACATACAAAAACAAATACCGTAAAACCTCTAATAGAACGACACCCGGATCGTCCACTTTGAGCCTATATATCTCATTTTCTGCAAAAGATATCAAAAAGTGGCTAACTAGTAAAATGTTGCTGATATCCTGATAAACATTTTACTAGTTAACCACTTTTTGATACCTTTCAAAAGACTTCTTTCAAAAGATATCAGCAACATTTTACTAGTTAGCCACTTTTTGATATCTTTTGCAGAAAATGAGATATATAGGCTCAAAGTGGACGATCCGGGTGTCGTTCTATTAGAGGTTTTACGGTATTTTTCAGTCGATTTTCGGTCATTTTGACCATTTTCAGTAGTCTGGAGCTCGGCTGTCAAGCTTCTGATCACTTTGAAAATTTTGGAGTGTGTAAAACAAACCTAGATTGAAAATTTCGCATTCACAGAATTTTTTGAAAATTCCTAGTTTGTCAGATATTTGCCGATTACCGGATGTTTTTCAAGAATCGGCAATTAACTGAGAAACTAGGAATTTTCAAAAAATTCTGTGAATGCGAAGTTTTCAATCTATAGATCCTATAGGTCTGTTTTTAACCCCACTGTATAAGTTGTATAAGCCGCAAATTGAACATATTTTCAATTCAACCTGTTAACTTTGACCGATTTCGAGGCATCAAAAATCGAGTGATGGAGGATTGCAACGTAAAAATTTTTAAACTTGAAAAAAGATCCGATGAGTAATCGCTCCTCTCCCTCTCTTTTTCTCTTTTGAACTAGAGAATAACATCTGCTGTTCTTTCTGCCGATGATTTTTTTTTTCAATATTGTTTGTTTCGTTTCCCCGACCTCAAAATTTCCAAGCAAGTTCATGTTTGGGGGGTAAGGATAAAAAATTCCACCGCTCCATTAATTGTATTGACCTTCATTCTGTTCGAATTGCCCACGGCCTCGCGGAAGGGAACCTAGATTTAAAAATTGGAGAGCGCGCCAAGTTTGGACGCGTAGCGCGGTCGCATCGCGGCTTTCCGGTGAGTAGCGAGTCAACAACGTTTAACTTCACGTTTTTTCAAAACACGTTTCAAAATTTTCGAATCTGGCACGCAGCCAACTTTTGTGTGCGACGAAGCGCGCGTTTTTCAGGTTCCCAACCGCGATGGCGTGATTGCCACAAACACCAGGTTCCAATAAACATGAAATCGTTGAAAAATTCAAATGTTTTTTTGTATTAGGGTTTTGGACCTTTTCATGCAATGTCGAGAAATGTCGAAAAAAAGTTTCATAACTCCAGAAACACTGCAAATTTCACTTATTTTTTGTTAACTTTAAGTGTTAGATCTATCTACTTGGCGATTTGATTTATTTGATTGATGTCGACTTTGTTTCAGTTGACTTTCAAGATTCATGTTGTTTCAAAGACACAATCTTATCTATACTGAAAGAGCTGAAACAAAAAAGAGTTATTTTATATTTCAGTGCTGATTTTCTCTCCCAAAAATCGAAGACACTGTTATTTAACAATCTGTGAGCTCTCACATAAAGGAAATATTATCTCCATTTTTTGTGTTTGTGTCAATGAAACGAAAAAAAGGACAGCTGTAAACAACTCCCTCTAACCGTACGCGTCTCTCTTTGGCGCCCACTCTCTTCACACCCTCTCATTCATTGCATGACATTCTCTCTCATTTTTTGAATTCGGCTATGTTTTTTGAGGTTAATTTTTGTTGGTTTTCCTAATGAACTCATTAACTAGCAAAACTAATTCTAGCAAAACTTCATCCGAGTCGCTTCAATACGGTCTTTGATATCTTATAATGAAGACTATAGGAGATTCTCGAAGAGAGCGAATTTTCTAGAGCGAAATATAGAGAGAATAAACAATTTGTGTTGTTTTTTTGGTCTTCGAGGTTTAGAGTCTGCAGTATACGGGCCGTATGTTTTCAGTTCTAAGGCATTATAGAATATACAAAATCTATCATCATACAGCTTTCAAAGTAGGATCTCATTGTGTTGGTCACTTTTCAGATTAATCTAGATTTGTGCTTATGCTTATTCAGCAAGGATGTCTGTTTTCGAAATTTCAAGAATTCCGAGTTTACAAATTTTGGAATATTCCGATTTTCGATCAAAAATTTTACTTTCCTATCATAAAAGTTGGAAAATTCATACTTGTAACGGGCCGGGCCGGGCTTTTTCCCGAATTTCGGAGGCCCGGCCCGGCCCGGCGGGCCTGTCATTCCACAAGCTTTGAAAATTTCAAAAAACACATAAGGGGGGAACCCTTATGTGATTTTTTTCCATCAATTTTTTTTTTCGAATTTTTTTTTGATATTTTTGATCAAACAGACAAACAATCCAAAAAGCACAAAAAAAAATAGAAAATTGCATTGAGAGCTCAAAATTCGGTTACAAGTATGGGAAAATTGGTGAAAAATTCACAGAAAAAATTTGAAAACTCCCAAAACGTAACTCCACTCGAGACGCGCAAGGGAGATTGTGGCGTGCGCCTTCAAAATACCGTAGCTACTACGCGTAATCTCAAAAGATCAAAAATTTGATCGGAACGCTTCGGAAAAATTCCGTTCCGAGCATCCCTGCTTATTTAGAAACCACGTCAGTTTAATTGTTGAGTTCAATGACCTCCTTTGAAAGAAGTACAAAATATCAACGAAATGCTTCGATAAGGAGTTTTTCTATGATACAAGGTGTTAGTAGAAACCATTTTCCAGCGTTTTATACCTGCACTAACGAGAATAAATAATATATAATTTTTATGGACCTGCGCCGCAGCTCCGCGTAGTACCGTTAGTCATATTTTCCGCAGCCATCTGAAATTAAAAATTACCCTAATTCCATGTCAAAAAGTAGTATAACTTTCCATTTTGTCTATAACTCACCTCCTCCGCTATTCCTATTGTGGGAGCAAACAAAACCATCACCAATATTTTTTTTAATTTCTGCCGCCTTCTTCCTTTTCTAAACACAGTGTTATATCTAACTCTCGGTTTTGTTTACGCATCATCTTCTGTACACTTTCCTATTATTCTTCTTCTTTCCATCTTCTTCTGCGAAAAATTGTTTTTCCACCAATTTTATTATGCTTTCCCTTGGATCGTAAAATAACATTTTCTGTTCAATTTTTCTCTATGCTTATCTGCAACGGTTAATCTTACAGGATGGTTTTTGAATCGCTGGTCGCCGACCTGCTCAACAGGTTCCTTGGCGACTTTGTCGATAATTTGGACTCTTCACAACTTAATATCGGAATTTGGGGAGGTAAGTCTTCTTCTCATGGACAACGGTATCAGGAAGTTTCCCAATCATATAATTTTCAGGAGATGTGAAACTCGACAATTTGCAAGTCAAGGAAACGGCTCTAGATGATTTTGATTTGCCAATAAAGCTCAAGTACGGCTATCTCTCCTCTCTGGTTCTCAAAATTCCATGGAAGAATCTTTACAATGAGCCAGTCATTGCTACAGTGGATGGCCTCAACTTGATTGTTGTGCCTAACAAAGGAGTTGTTTACAATGAGAAGAAAGCGGCCAAGAATATTCAAGAGATCAAGCAGAAGACATTGGCTCGGCTGGAGGAGGCTCGCAAAGAACGTCGGAAGCCAAAGGATCCTCAAGCAGATACTTTCACTGAAAAGATGATCACACAGATTATCAAAAACTTACAGGTAAGTAGAGACGAGTTTTTAAGGTTTTTACAAGTGTTTTTTTTCAGATCTCAGTTTCAAACATTCATGTTCGCTTTGAAGACAGATACACCAATCGTCATCGTCCATTTGCAATGGGCGTCACTCTTGAGAAACTTTACTTCAAGGTAGAATTTTCAATTAAAAAATACATAAATCATTTTCTTTCAGACCACCGATGAAAATTGGAAGGAAACTATTCATAAGGATGTTGTCAAGATAATCTACAAGCTCGTCTCACTCCAGAATCTTGCAGTATACTGGAACTCTTCAACCGAGTTCATCTCTGACCTAGATGACAAGAATATTATCCAACAGAAGTTGCAAGAAACGATTCACAATGGAAAGAATCAGCCAGAAGGATTCAAATATATCTTAGAACCGATTCAGATGGAGGCAAAACTGAAGTTAAATCAGAAGCCAGAAACTGATGGGTCGCACTGGACGATTCCTAAAATTGATCTGGCTGTAGATATGCATTCGCTAGCACTTGCGATCGGAAAATTCCAGTATCAGGACATTCTTCTCTTCCTTGAAGCCCAAGAACGATTCAATGCAGCTGGACAGTATCTAAAATATCGTCCTAACATTAACGAGTTCAAGGGGCATTATAAGCAATGGTGGAAATTCGCCTATACCGCGATTCTTGAAGAAAAAGTGAGGCGTCGCCGTAATAATTGGTCTTGGGATAGAATGCACAAACATCGTCAACTCGTGAAGAAGTATCAGAAGGCATGGGTTCGTCGTCAGACTGAAGCAAGCCCAGGAGCTGAAGTGGAAACCACCGTAAAGGAGGCTGAAAAGAAGCTGGATGTGTTCAATGTGAATGTGGCACGTCAACAAGCCGAATTGGAAATCGACAGACTTGGATTGACTCGCCAAGAGGACAAACCACAAGGATGGGTTGCTTGGGGAAAAAGCTTGTTTGGCAGCGGCGGCGGTGGGCCAATTCCAGATAAGAACAAGAAGGGAGGAAAAGACATTGGTTCGCAATTCCAAGAAGCGATGACACCTGAAGAGAAAGCGAAGCTGTTCGAAGCTATCGATTATCAGGAGAACATTCCACCAACCAACTACCCGAAGGAGTTCGTTGAGAACAAATTTGAGTTCAAGCTTGGACAAGTTGCCATAGTGGTTGATGGAGCAGTTTCAATGCAGCTTCTCAAGTTACAAGCTAATGTCGAACAGCGTCCAAGTGCTGGAGCAATGCAGTGAGTTCCTTTCGCAAATTTAACAATTCTAATTCACCATTTCCAGTGTGGAATCATCGATTCAAGAACTTCGAATGGACGGATGTGGTTCTGAAGTTATTCGCGTACGTGATCCTACAATTCCATGGATGTCCTTCCTCCTTGACACCAATCCACTGAAAGGAGATTATGATCAGCTCGTGAAACTAGCTATCGCTCCCATCAATGTCAAATATCAGGCACCTGCAATTAACAATGCTATCGATGTGTTCAAGCCCCCAGAATCAGTTCGTCTCAACCAACTTACGGCCCTGGCAATGTCTCGTTACGAAGAAGTCAAAACAAGATCTGTTACCGGACTTGCTCACGCGGTTGAGCATCGTTCTCGTCTGGTGCTCGATGTTCAAATTCAACCCGCTCGAATTTATGTCAGTGAAGGCGGTGTCTACTGCGAGGATAAACCAAGTTTGCTCGCAGATATGGGTCTGTTGTCTGTTGTTACAGTCGATACGTCAACTGTAAACACTTCTGGAATGAATAAACTGTCTGCTCTCATGGAGAAGGCATATGATCGATTCCACGTCAAGTTGAGTAACGTTGTCATCGCTTTTGCTGAAAATGTTTCCACTGCTGAAGCATGTGTCTTCGAAAAAGAATCGCCACTTCATGTTCTCAAACCAACTGGATTGGATATTCAGATTCACAAAAGTTCTATCGATGATTTGAGACTTGCGAAGATGAGAGTGCTCGGCGATTTACCAGATATCGTTATCGGAATTTCAGGTACGTTACTATTTGGCTCTGAACCAGAATAAATATATTTTTTTCAGATGTCCGACTTATTGGATTAATGAAGCTCGCTCTCTCCATTCCTACTCCGAAGCCGGATGAGAAAACAATGGCCGAAAAAGAATTGGAAGTGGTTCCTGAAGCTAAAATTAGAGATCGTGCTAAGATGCGAACTATAATGGAAGCTGAAGAAATGGAAGAAGACGTGACACAGAAAAACGATGGTGAGGACGAGGATGATCAGCAAAAGAAAAAGAAGACCAGTGAGCAACAAGTTCAAATTGAGCTTGATCTCCGATTGAATCAGATCGGAGTAATCGTTTACCGTAAGGACACTGTCTTCTGTGATGTTTCCATCATGAAAATGTCTTGTAAACTCCAAATGCGCACGTTCGATATGGTTGTAACAGCTGAACTTGGATCTATCAGAATCTCGATGCCCGAATTCAGCTCATTGGATCCGAGACGTCAACATCTGTTCCTTATTGACAACGATGAAAATCAGGGATCACTGATGACGCTGAAATTCGTTCAGGCGAATCCTGAATCACCATTCTTCGCCACGGAATATGCACTTACAGAGCAATCTGTAGATTTCACATTCACGAAACTCGTCGTCTCTCTTCACCAAGAAGGAGTTTTGGAGTTGAAAGGATTCGGGGAAGCATTACAATCACAACTTGCTGAGCTTCAAAAGGACAAGCCAGAAGAAGAAAAGTTGGAGGAAACGGCTCGCAAGATCAGCAGAAAGCTCAGTGACAGTGTCATGTCGATTGCATCACTGAGTGCTACCTCCTCTACAAGAGAAAAGCGACAACGAAAGAAGACTGTCAGTTCTCTCGCTGCTGCGGAGTTAGATGCATCCAGAAATATCAAGCAACATATCAAGGCTTCATTTGGAAGTTTGGCTTTGAACATTGGAACGCAGAAGGCATTGGAAACTAGTTTGGCTATCGAACATGTGAGTTTCGGTAGTCGTTTGTTTCTATTCAATGTATCACATTTCAGATCAACGCTAACGTAAAAATCACCGAGAAAGCTATGGAGGTAGTTGCAACTCTTCGTGCGATATCCATGAAAGATCGTACCACAGGAGCAGTTTACAAGAAGCTGCTCTCCGTGACTGGCAATGAAGACATGCTTCGTTTTGATTTCATTCAGTATCAAAGAACTGATGAAGATCGTGCTTTGATGAAGTCATCTGATGTTGATATGGTCGTAAAAATGCGCCTCGCACAAATGAGATTCGTCTTCCTGAATCTTTGGTTGGCACGTCTCATGGCTTGGATTGCTCCATTCCAAAATGAAGCCGTTAGAGCAGCCCAAGCTGCTCAAGCAGCTGCAGCCGAACGAGCTGCTGCAGCTGCGCAGAACGTCAAGCAAATCATGGAACAGTCTCCTCCTCGTATTCAGCTCGATGTCATCCTTGAAGCTCCATTTATTGTTGTTCCAAGACTTTCCACTTCGCGTGATGTCATCGTCCTTCATCTCGGTCGGCTTGCGTTGAAGAATGAAATTCGAGGCGACTCACATCATCCGAAAGCAGTGATCGACCGAATGGATATTCAAATGACTGATTGCTCATTTGGAATGGGTGTTATGAATGATGATGTGTCTGCTGTCTCGTCTTCGTGCATGATTCTGAAACCTATTTCGTTCAAACTCGCTCTTCAGAGGAATCTAACGTTTGCCACCGTGAAGCAGATCCCGAAAATTGTTGTTGACGCTCATCTCAACTCAATTGAAGCAGAATTGTCGGACGTAGACTATAAGACACTCATGCAAACATTGTCTGGAAACCTGGCCGAAGGCGCTGACCTTGCTGTTCCTCCTCCACCACCTCCACCATCGCTCGAGAGTTCGAATACTGCTGTTGCACCAGCTACTCCAGGAAAGGAAAAAGAGAAAAAGGATCGTGAAGCTAACGCCGGACCGCCTCTTATTGAAAAATCACACACTCGAATTGTATTCCAGTTCGTCCTGGACAAAATCTCTGCAGTTTTGTATGAAGGAGAAGCTGTCAACGGTGTGAGAAATGAGTCTGATGCATTTGCAGCTCTGCGTTTGAACAATGTGAAAACATCAGGAAAGATTGGAGAAGACAATTCGATTGTATTCGCGATGTCGCTCGATGCTTTCACAATGGATGACGAGAGAAAGGAGAAAACAAAGATTTCGAAGCTGATGGACAAAAAGGGAGCAAAAGAAGATCGCTTCTTGGGTATGAGTTTCAATCAAGATGCAGAAGCTAACAAGCAAATCCGACTCAAAATGAGTGCGTTCTTCATCTGCCTGTGTCCAGAATTTTTGGGATGCCTCACCAGATTCTTCAATGTGCCGCAATCTGAAGAACAATTGGAAAAGGAGGCTGTGACTTCGAATGTGCCGACGAAAGCAGTATCAAGTTCCACAGCCACATCTTCTGGTGGAGTAAAACCGCCTGCAGGTCCATCACAGCCAGTTGGAACACTCGCCATCGATTGTGATATGCACGGAGTTGAAGTTATCCTTGTTGAAGATTCAATGCATCCAGAATCCACGCAGGCTCTCATTCTATCCTTCAATGTTACTGCAGCTTCCCATCCAAACGAAACAACCAAAGACACCAAAATGAACGTTGCAGTTGAAAATCTGACAATCTTTTCCAGTTTCTACAACCCGAAACGTCGTAATGAAGTGACATACCAAGTTCTCACTCCAGTTCGCATCGAGGCTCTTGTTAATATGAATACGGAGACAAAGACAACTGATGCAGTCCTCAAAATGTCTGCAATGGATGTCAAGATGTCTCCTTCAATTATTCGCCTGCTATCTGCCGTTTCAGCCGAATTCGCTAAAAGCAGCGGAACTGTCGAAACAGGATCGGTTAGCCAGAAGTTGGCTAAGCTGCGGAAGTGGCCTAACTATTTCGAGTCGAAACCGATTGACCACAGAAAGTATTGGTTCTTCGCAGCTCCAGTGGCTCAAGAAGCTGTTGAAGCGGAAGAGGATGCTACACAAGAAGAAAAGAGCAGAACCGACTCTATGATCGGAAAAGAAAATGCGAAGGTCGATATTGAGAGAATCTCGTTCACATTGGAAGCTGGAACAGGAGCTGTATGTTTCAGTATAAATTAGTTTTTTGAGAATAAAATGGCAAATTTCAGATTCCCGTGCCTTTGATCTTCCTCGACATGCTCATCAATGCTGAAGCACAAGATTGGTCATCGGCTATGCGTGTAACTTCAGGAATTTCTCTGCAAATGTCGTATTATAACGAATCCGTCAGTGTTTGGGAACCGATTATTGAGCCAGTTGAAAATGAGAAGGGAGAGTATGAACGGTGGAAATTGGCTATGAACGTAAGCAATTCAAGATTAGGAATTATTCTACAGTAACCGGTTTTCAGATGAAATCTCGCAACAAGCAAGACTCCTCTGACACATCTCCCCAAACCGAGGTGAAAATCGAGGCAGACAAGATGTTGAATGTCACAGTCACAAAATCACTTCTCACTTTGCTCAACAAACTTTCCGAAGTGTTTGCAACAGCGGCTAAACAAATCACTCCAACTCAAACGCGCCATCTCCCAGGAATATCTCCATTTGTCGTTCTCAATGAAACGGGAATCGCTGTCAAGGTTCTCGATACCGAAACAATTCGAGTCAGTGAAAATGGTGAAGTTGTTGATGCCACTCATGGAGACTTCGTCGACGTTTTCCTCAAGAACAAAAAGAGCAATGTGGAGGATCGTCGATTGAGCATTGAGCAAGAAGAAGTTACTGGAGATCTCAAGTTTGAATTGACTGGAACTGTTCGTGAGACAAAGATCGGTCGTGCAGAAAAACGAATTATTCACCTACCAAAAGTCAGCGAAGGGGGACACAAATGGCTGATAGTCGCAGAAACAACAATCGAAAACAACCGACGCCTTGTGACACTTAACTCTCATGTCAAATTCACTAACCATCTATCCTATCCAGTGGAACTATACTCGAAACGAGATACTACTTTGGATCTGTTCGGTACTGTTGAACATGGAGAAACCATTCCTCTGGCTGTTCCCTTGCTCTTTTCCCCGTCTGGAGATATCTATCTGAAACCAGTAGATGATAAGTAGGTTTTTTCTCTCCTATCAGTACAATTAATTTTTCAATATAGGTACGAAGTGTCATTCGAATCCCTCTGCTGGCACAACTTCGAGCATAACCGCCGCCAAGCTGTGCGGTGCGAGGCGGACTCAACCGATGGATCATTCTCCGGAATTTACATCGATTCTGTTGTTCACGAAGAAAAAATTCCGGATGGCGTTGATGATCAGACTACCAGCATTTATCACGTTCATCTTCACCCTCCACTTGAGTTTCATAACAATCTTCCATTCGATATTACACTCGAACTTCCCGAGCAAAAGGTTTTGTCTGCTGGAACATCTTCACTTCTGAATGTGGTTGCCGGAAGCCCAGTGAAAGCGTGGCTGATGTACTTGGGTGAGAAGTATGTTTTGGAAATGCCAGTTCCAGAAATCAAGAAGGATGTAGAAGTTGTGGCGCTGAACACGGAAACTGGGTCAGATGAGCTTGTAAGACATTTTGAAAACGAATCATTGGAACAACCAAATTTTTTACAGCTTCTTGGACTTCATTGGACTAGCGAGTACGGAGATCAGAAAGTGTATTTATACGCTCCTTTCTGGCTTGTGAACAACACAGATAAGATGCTTCGTCATGTGGTGAGCTTGAATGAAATAGAAAAAAAGGATATGGGAATGTTCATCCACTTCTGAGAATAGCTTCCTGCTATGTTCTATATTTTCTACAACTTCTTTCTGGGGTTTACAACTTATACTCTTGTTCCATGCTTTTTTCAGATGGTGTTTTGTTTCCAGTACACCGAGTTGTAGCTATAGAATAATTATACGTTCATATTCGTTGTATTTCACTAATTCCGCTTTTTTCAATAGGAGAGCAGCGGAAACATGTTGACGAACACTGCGCGTGGGTGTGTTCCTTGCGGAAAGAAGTCGGTCATCACATCACAAGAGGTTCAACTTTTTTTTCTTCTTTTTTCAGAGTTTCATAAAATAACATTCTCAATCGCCTTCCCCATATATATGTCTTTCTGGGAATTTTCTCTCTAACACTGTTGAAAAAAGATTTTTGACAACGACTTATAAACCCCATCCCACTTTTCAGAACGATGATGCTGTTCAGCATGCGCCGAATGAGAATCCAATCATTCTTCCATTCCCAGCTGTGGACTTGTCCAAAAAGAAGAAGGTAGAAGAATTTGAATCAGAATCCGTTTTATCTTCTGAACTTCCAGGCTCGCGTCAGAATTGAACGCGAGAGTGAATGGTCTGATGAATTCCCACTGGACACAGTTGGAAATGCAGCCCGTATCACTTGCAAAGGAGCTCATAATGATTTTGATGTATGTCAATCTCATCTTCTGTTCTTTTTCACCATGTTTTTCAGCTAACCGTTGACATCAAACTTTGTCAATCAGGACTCACAAAAATTGTCACATTCGCACCATTTTACTTGGTTTCGAATCTTGGTAAAAATTCGATGGAGATTCGAGAAGAGGGTCAAAAGAATTGGATTGAGATTCCTGCGGAAACGGTAAGATCATCACAATTGTAGTTCCTACTCTGATGTTCGAATATTAATTTTAGTGCGTTGGCGTTTGGCCCGAGGAACGGAAGAAGCGTAAGCTCATGTGTGTTCGCTACAAAGAAGAGCCAGAAGCTGAATCCCTGTTGTTCCCAATCACAGAGAACTACGAAACCTTGTGCCACGTAAGTCTGCTAGTTTCTCTCTTACCAGTATTGATTTGAATTTTTAGATGGATGGTGATTCTATTGGTGTTGAAGTTTCTGTCTCCACTGGAGAATCTTCCGTGGCAATTCATCTTTCTCCATTTACTCCTGGAATGTGTCCAGTCCAAGTGATGAACAACCTGAGTGTTCCTGTCTCCTTCGGACAAAAAGGTCACAAAAAGACATCCGTTGGTCCGAATGAGTCGCTTCACTTCTCATGGGCGAGCATTACGGATGCAAAGATCTTGGAAGTCGATGTTGGTGATTGGCACTTCGAAGACAAGTTGGATCAAAATAGATTCGGAGATTTGCAAATCGACAAGAACGTCAGAAGATTCTCATACTATTCTAACTTCTTGATTGGACGACAACGCGTTCTTCTCTTCACGCCAGATGTGGACATCGCAAAGGCAGCATATGGAAGTTGGGAAACTGATATTGTTGATATGCAGGCAGAGATCTCTCTTCAAGGATTCGGACTCTCCGTTGTTGACAACATTGTTGGAAGAGAAATAATCTACATGGCTATTTCATCATCGGACATTCTATGGGAAGAGGAAATCAAAAAAGGACGATTCAAGCCACTCGCTGTTAAGTACATGCAAGCTCTGGAAGAGAAGTATCAAGCACATCTTTTGACACCAAATGATGAATACGAGTCAATCGAAGGTTTTGAAGTCAATGTGAATCGTTTGATTTTGAAAAAGAAGAAGGGAAAGGAAGTGAAGATTCGCAGAATTTTCGAACAAGGTCTGTGGGCCAGTTACGGAAAGAGCGCTCAGCGAACGAGACTTCATGCCAAAATCAATCACATTCAAGTAGACAATCAGGTAGTTACATTGTTCGGAGCCATTATTCAATTTACAAAATTATAGCTTGATGCCTGCATCTTCCCACGCGTTCTTTCAGTTGTTCCACCTCCAAAGAGTGTGGTTGTTGACAACAGTAAGCTTGTTCGCACAGTTAATGTAAGGTAAAATCGTTTTTCAGCTCCGAAACCATTTATCGAACTTTCTCTCCTTCAACGTCAACCTGAGTTCTCTTCTATCGCTGAAATCGAGTACGCCCACGTACTGATCCAAGAATTCTCTGTTCAAGTGGATCAAGGTCTCATAAATGCTCTACTCTTACTCGCTGCTGGAGAAGTAGCCAGGAAACCTTATGGAGTGCGTTTTTCAAGACATGTAAGCTAATCTTTCTCATATTTTCAGAAAGAAATGTTTGATGAAGACCTCAAAATCTGTCACGTTACTCTCTCGGAAACTGCTAGCACATATCGCTCACAACGTCCAAAGAGTTTCTACAACGATCTTCACATTTCTCCGATCATGATGCATTTATCATTCTCCCAGGGAGGTACTTCGGGAGATGCCGCTGCGTCAGGAGCTTCGATGCCAATCCAGTCTGAAATGATCAATGTCCTCCTAAGATCCGTCGGAGTCACTCTCACTGAGTTGCAGGATGTAGTTTTCAAGCTTGCATATTTCGAACGGAAATGCGTATTCTATAGTCCAGAACAATTAAATGGAGAGATCATTTCCCACTACGCAAAACAGTTCATCAAACAGGTTTATGTTCTCGTTTTGGGACTTGATATCATCGGAAATCCTTTCGGATTAGTAAGAGATTTGTCAGCAGGAGTCGAAGATCTTTTCTATCAACCATTCCAAGGAGCAATTCAGGGACCAGAGGTCAGCTCAGATTATATAGAACACAATAAGATTAGCATTTCAGGAGTTTGCTGCTGGTGTTGCTCTCGGAGTTCAATCGATGTTCGGACACGCGGTTGGTGGAGCAGCTGGAGCTGTCGGACGTATCACTGGAACAGTTGGTAAAGGAGTCGCAGCACTGACATTCGACGATGACTACATGAAGAAACGTCAGGAAGATTTGAACCGTAAACCACAATCGTTTGGAGAGGGAATGGCTCGTGGACTAAAAGGACTCGGAATGGGTGTTGTGGGAGGAATAACAGGAGTGGTGACAAAACCCATCGAAGGAGCTAAACAAGAAGGAGGATTCGGTTTTGTGAAAGGAGTTGGAAAAGGTCTCATCGGGGTTGTTACTCGCCCAGTTTCTGGAGTCGTGGATTTTGCCAGTGGCACGATGAACTCTGTTCGCGCTGTGGCTGGAACTAATAGAGAAGCCGGACCCCTCCGACCACCACGTGTTCTTCGCGCTGATAGAATTGTCAGACCATACTCCAGCACGGATTCCTACGGATTCAAAGTTTTCAAAGACACCGACCGCGGAGAGATTGCCGAAACCGATGAGTTCGTGACGTACGCTTCTATAAGTGACAAGATTGTGCTCATCATCACCGATCGTCGGTTGGTTTTGAGCAAGCGGACTGATATGATGGGAGTCTGGCAAACCGACTGGTCAACGGAATACTGCAAGATCAAGGAGCCAGAATTCATTCCGAATGGTGTCAAGATTTTGCTGAAGGTAAATAGAGGGTTTTTGGAATTTTCAGGATTGTTATCTTGTTTCAGGAAAAGAAGAAGGGCTTCCTAGGAATCGGGTCATCAGAAGGAAAGATAATCACATTCCAAAACGCTGAAAAGATTCATCCAAAGTTAGCTGCTGCATACAAAAAAGCTACTCTCGCGTAGTTCATATATCTCCCCCATTCATTGACCAGATTCGAACAATCAACAACATAAATTCATAATATTTTTCTCTCACTATGAGATTGGTCCTCTTCTATTATTTTTTCTATCGCAATTTATGAGTCGTTACGGATCTTTTAATTTCTTCTTTTAAATGTTATGGCTATTTTATCATATGTATCTGCATCCGTTGAATTTAAAATAAAATATATTTCTGGAAGCGTTTTGAAAAAGAAACTATTGCGAAATGTTTGTCTCTATGCCTCCGCCTGGTTGACTAATCCCTAATATTTCCTAGTTGTCTGCGTTCTCTCAACCCCATGCTTTGCCTTTTTTCGAAATCTTCGCCACATTCGTACGAGTTCTAACTAACACTGCTAATCTCTATTGATTAAATAACTTGTGAATAATCTAGTTTCCCAGTGTCATCTGAATGGCTTCATCGTCGGAAAGTGTATGCGACGATCAGGGTGATTACCAATGGCCATGGTGTCAGATGGGCCATTTTGGAATCAATTTTATACAAACTGATGGGTCGAAAGCTTATGTCGAAGGAGACTTATCCAGAGCATACATAAAGTAAGATAACTTCTGGTTTTTTTAATTCGATTGTTGTGTGAATACTTTTCTGAATTTCGATAAGCACTATTATTTAGAAACTACGCTCTATTGGAGTAGTGTACTTTTCTTTTTGTTCGATCATTTTCTAATTCATCTGATCAGTTGAACTTCGAACTTTATTTACTTTTTTTTATTTTAAGAGACATTGATTGAAGTAAATCTTTCAGAGATTACGAGCTGCTGAGGGCAAGTAAGCGTCCAAAGGATCAAAAACTGGCTGAAGAGAAGATACAAGAAGATTTGGACGAAATGAGCTTGAAAGAGGTTGAATCAGAAGCAAACGGTAGAGTTTCAGCATTTCCATCACTTGTACATCAATAATTTTCAGGAGACACTGTCGACGACAAAATTCTCGATGAGAAGGATATGGCATACGAAGTTCTTCCCAAATGGACATCTGATAAAAGGAAAGGCAGAAAGAAGAAGATGAAGGGGAGATACAACTATCGTTCATTCAACGAATATTGGGACGTCGCTTACTTTTATTTAACTCAGATGACGTGGCTCAATGATTTTGGAGACCAAATGAATGAGGAAAATAAAGAGAAATTGCGGAAGAAGTGTGAGGAAATGAAGCCAGTCTATCCTATTGAGCAACATGAGAATCTTCTGGTTAGTCAGAAATGAAGTTTGGGTTTTTTAATTGTGCGTTTTCAGGAGAATCCAGATTATCATCATGTTACCAAATCGATGATCGAGCCGAAGCAAGGTGCTACATATGAGGAAATATATGCAGAACATTGTGAACTGATCAAGAAAAAATCGGAAGTCGATTACCATGCTCATCAGACGAAATCTGTGACCCGCCGTTGTAAAGATATGATATCGAGAGTATGTTTTTTTTTCTGTTTCCATATATGTGTTCGATTGACATAAGATAAGAAAAAAACAGTTACAGTTTGAAAATATTATTTTAATGGGGTTATTCATGTAGCGAAACTCTGTATTGAAATGCATTTCGGCGCCCTCGAAATGCATTTCAATGCAGAGTTTCGCTACATGAATAACCCCATAATACCAGATCAGAAAAATAATCAAATTTCAGGTTAAACGGCTCGGATATGCTCCAGGTTTTGAAGAATCTCAATTGCCTTCGTTCTATGATTTGAAAACAGAGCAAAAACACGATAAGCCGCTTATAAAAGAAATTCGATACACCATCGATGATGCATTTTCTAAAAAGTTTTGGTTAGTTACTCTTCCCTGTTTAAACTGTACAAAGTAATTTAAGCGGTGCTGATAGTCGTGATGAAAAGGTTGAGGACTCCTCTGCGTCGACATCTGATTCTACGAGCCCATCAGATTCTCAACCTGAAATGCCTTCTCCAGTAAATCCATCGGAAATTCGATTCAACTTTGATCCTGAAACTGAAAAATATCTGATTGCTTCGGATGCCGAAAAATTGTATGCTAACGATCCGGAAATCAGCAAGTACTACTATCAGCGATATCGGCTGTTCTCTCGTCTGGATGAAGGAATCATCATGGACAGAGAAGGATGGTTCTCCGTCACTCCGGAAGCTATCGCGGAACACATTGCGGATCGGGTTGTTCGGCACAACGTTTCAGTTGTTGTGGATGCGTTCACTGGAGTTGGAGGCAATGCTATTCAGTTTGCGCTTCGTGGAGCTCATGGTAAGTTCTGGAAAAACACTCATTGACTTCAAATTTCTCTTCGACTTCTTAAGACTAATGGGCTGCTATAAAAACTACGGTGGTACTGTCCATACTATAGAAATAGCGAGAAAATTAATTTTAAAATATAGCATTCTAATTACTTTATCTCAGCTGCGACTGTCGTCTTTTGGGCGAAAATAATTGCTTCGCACCCTTTTGGGCGAACATGGGCGCTTTTTGGGCGAAGTTAGAGCTCCGCCGCCTTTTGAGCGAGCTTTGGCGCCTTTTGGGCGAGAAATACATTTTTACGCGAACCCAAGGCGAAGGTAGAACCTCTCAGGCGAACCCAGCCAGCTTTTTCTCTTGCTTTTGCCAGCTTTTGAGCGCTGTTTGGGCACCTTCTGGGGAAATCCCTAGCGAAATCTGCCAAAGAGCGCCCAAAAGACGACAGCCGCAGCCGAGATGCTAGCTGCTAGAAAATTGCAGTCAATGAATATTTGCCGAAATTGTTCCTCGTTTTTATAATTCAAAATCTAAATTTCAGTGATTGCGATTGATATGGACCCTGTTCGTCTGAAATGTGCAAGAGAAAATGCTCGCGTTTACGGCGTTGCTGATTACATTGATTTCATCTGTGCTGATTTCTTCGATGTGTCAGCCACATGGGCTGCCGACAAGAAGCTGGCACCTAAAGTGGATGCAGTTTTTCTGAGTCCTCCATGGGGAGGACCATCCTACTTGAAGGCAAAAGAGTTTGATTTAGCTACTGGATGTTGTCCAAATGGAGTCGACATTTTTGATGTCTCTCTGAAAATCAGTCCGAACATCGCCTATTTTCTTCCGAGGAACACGAAAGTCAGCCAAGTAAATTGGTCTATTTTCGGACTTCCTAATAACTTATTTTTTTCAGTTGACAGAACTTGCCATCAAGGCGAAAAGTCGTATGGAAATCGAGCAGTCTTCATTAAATTCCAAAATCAAAACGATTACCGTATACTATGGAAAGTTGGCATATCGAGAGAAGATCCCAGCATGTGATACCTAATGGATATCTTCTAGTTCTTTGTTTTGATTGTTGTCATGTTGTTACGTTCTCACTGTGTTGTGTTCTTCTTATTCTTTCACTATTCATAATAAACAATTTCAGTTTCAAATATTCTAGAAGTGTTACATTGACAAATCATCTTCTTCATCTCTCATCACACTTTTCTTTCTCAACTTTCTCGGCGAGCCGGTGGCATCTTCTGAAGAGCAGCTGTCCGGTTTCTGCTCTCTGAGCAATTACACACTATCATTCCCCCTCCCCGATTCTCTTTTTCTTCTCTGTATTGTGATTCTTCTTTAAACTAATCAATCAATAAATAATTCTTGAAACTCATTGGATTCCTAGTTTCCCCACTTCACAAATAATTTCACAAAAACATCTGGTTTACTACAGATCACTTGGCAGTTTATGACCCAACAAAAGCCATTCGAATGAAAAACGAACACTTTTTGGTTTATGACACTCACTGCAAACTTAAAAAAAACCACAACTATTTTTCAAGATTCCTTCAATAAAAAAGACTGAGTTTTAGGAATATTTTTTGAGAATCTAATTTTGGAGAAATGCTTTAAAAAAATTTTGCTCCATCCAGGAAGCTGAATTTCCTTGCAACCATAATTGTAATCCGGGCCTTTTCCGGGCCTTCGCGGGCCCTGGCATAACTTCTTTCAGAATCTATATTTTCAAACCAACTAAATTAGATAGGATAGAGCTCCACGAGTACTACAAAACGGTATTATTTGGAATGCTGTATCTTATCTATGAACAAAGTTACAGCTCATAAAGTGGCTTTTCTCGCAGGGCCCGGCAGGCCCGGGGCGGGCCTGCTTTTTTTTTGCTCCTTTTGCTCTGTAACTCTGTTCATAGACAAGATACAGTATTCCAATTAATACCGTTTTGTAGTGCTCGTGGAGCTCTATCATACCTGATTGAGTTGGTTCGAAAACATTGCTTCTGAAAGAAGTTATGGCAGGGACCGCGACGGCCCGGAAAAGGCCCGGATTACAAGTATGCTTGCAACAAGACAAGATTTGAAATTTCATTTCAGCTTTTTCAGACTTTTCACAAGAAATACCTGAAATAGGATACTTTAAACATGGTTCTGATTGTTATAGTTGAAAAAATTTCAGATTATTCTTAAACTTCATAAACTCTGAGAAACGGATACCATAAACACTCTAACCGTCATCTTTGAGCTCAATTATCTTGATTCCTGTGAAAGATTCCAAATATTAGATAACTGATAAAATATATGTGATATTATGATAAATACTTTTACAGATGAAAAACGTTTGATATCTTTTACAGGAATCGAGATAATTGTTCACAAAATTAACGATTTGGATGGAGTTATATTATATGAGAGGAAGTATGTCAATTTCTATTTCTTTTTCATTTTCAGCTACTAAACTCTCAACGACTAATAGTTCACTCAAACTTTCATATTCCATTTAAAATGCTCAAATACATTAATAACTGCTCATTAAATTCCATTTCCTACATGCTTTTCTCCCACGCTCTCTCAATATTTCTTTTTCCTTGAATGCCCAAAAACAATGAGGGAGCAAAGGAGAATGTACGGAGAAAAGGGATGGATGATGATGATGTGGCTGGGGCGGTGCTCCCTTCTGCTTTTCCTATATTTAATCCATGTCGTCCGGGCTCTTTCTTTTACCACCACCACCATCTCTGTCACACAATCATTCATGTCCTCTCCTGCTTTCGCTCCATTTTATTTTTAATCTTTTCTCCCTCTTCCCAAAAGATGACCACTTTTAAAGTGGGAATGAGAAGTTCAGAGAGGAAGAAGACAACAATTTTTAGTTTTAATAATTTTCAAAAATACTTGTTTCAGGTCTCTCGATGAGGTCCTCCAAATGGATATTTGTTACTGTAGGTACTGCTATACTTCTCATAACCAGATATGGTAAGAATTTCTTTCCAAACAGCTTGGTAAGATTCGAAAAAGACAAATTAGGCTTACCTTTTCGGAAAATGAGCAGAAGTAAGCTGAACGGTGATCTACCGTATTTTCTCTAATCGAACTCTACCCAAAACGTCGAGTTTGAGCTCAATTATATCGGTAGCTATAAAAGATATAAAAAAGTTGTTAACTGATAAAACGTTTGTGATGTCATCATAAATCTTTCATCAGTTGACAGATTTTCAATATCTTTCCAAGGAACTGAAATAATTGAGCTCAAAATTGACGGTCTGCGTGGGCTCAGGAAATACTGTATATCTGGTAGCTCGGGGATTTTCTTAAGGAAACTTCTGAACTTCTCAAACTCGCAAACTCAAATTCTCCGGTTCGGAAACTAAAAAATTTAATTTACAGAAATTGAGAAATTTGAAAATTTAAAAGTCAATAAAGTTCGAATTAAGAAATTCAGAACCTCTCGAAGTTTAGAAATTCGGAAATTTGAAATTAAGCTTTTTTTCCATTTCGGGATTCTAAAATTCCCTAATTTGATAACTCTTGAATTCTGAAGTTTGGAAATTTGGAAATTGAGAAATTCTTAAACTCCTAAAACTTGGAAATTTTTGAATATCTTCCGAATTTCTCAATCTCTCGATTTCTAAAATTCTGAATTGCTAAGTTTCTGAACTACAAGTTTTGGAATTTCTCACTTCCCTAAATTCGGAAAAGCTCCGAAAATCTCATTTAAGTAACTTCGAGGACTAACGAACAAATTCGATCTGCTTTTTCAAATATTCAGTCATTTTGTACTACAGATATGCTTTTTAGACTATTCGAGATAATCAGCGTTAAAAAAAAGTTTCGACACATAATTCGGAGGGTTTAACAATTCAGGGGTACAAGGGGGTACAAAGTGATTTAAAAGTACAAAATCCACAAATGGGAGGTACACAATTTGGATTTTTCAGGTATATCGTACCCTCAAATTGGATATTTTGTACCCCTAAATTTTCGTACCCTCCGGATTATTTGCCAAAAGTTTTACAACACACAAAATTTGAGCAATTTCAAAAAGTGCATAATGATCGCCATATCGACCACCCATAAAACCAAGAGAAATGAAGCAAAGAAGGCGTTGACGCTTTCCATCTTTTTCCTCGCTTCTCAGATTTTTTCGACGCCTTCTTGTCGGTTAATACGTGCAAATGGTTCTCTGGGGAATCATCAAAGATTTTGAAAGAAGTTGGGAACACTTCGTATGATTTGTTTACAGTTGTTGACCTACTTTAGCTTTTTTCTATTTTCAGCTTTGCCTAAAACTAATATAGAGCTATGAGTAGGTATCAATTATGAAGAAAATTTTATTAAGAATTTTTTATGTTTAGGTTCGGCATCGGATGATGAAGAAAGATTGATGGTAGACGTTTTTCGAGGTTACAATTCACTCATTCAGGTATGATTTTTTGAAAGTGAAAAACTGAAAAATTGGATTTCAGCCAGTCCGAAACTCCTCTGAACTACCGCTAATCGTCAAAATGGCTCTACAACTTGTACTGCTCATCAATGTGGTTGGTGGTGACACTTTTTATCCAATTATCAAATTTGTAAATCGAATTTTTTTAGGACGAGAAAGATCAAGTTATGCACACAAACGTCTGGCTCACTTTGGTTTGTTTCTTCTTTTCTTCTTTTTTTTTAACTTTGAAATGTTTTTTTCAGCAATGGCACGATTTTCAAATGAAGTGGAATCCAGTGAATTATGGAGAAATCAAACAGATTCGAGTTTCTCCCGATAAAGTCTGGCTGCCAGATATTGTACTTTTCAATAAGTAAATTTAAAAGGGTTTCGTGAAGTAAAATAAAACATTTCAGTGCCGATGGAAATTACGAAGTGTCGTTTATGTGTAATGTGGTTATAAATCATAAAGGAGACATGCTGTGGGTACCACCAGCTATTTACAAAAGCAGTTGCATTATTGGTGAGACTTTTTACTTTTCAAAAAATCCTAGTTCAGAACAAATATTAAATACAGTGCCGGTCAATAAGACACAAAAAACATAGAGTACCGTTGATTTCCGTATATTTTGAGCATTTACAGGTCGATTTTCACTTCGGAATGACCTTTTCGGAATGTCAAAAATTCCGATTTTGAAACTTCGGAATGTCGGAATTTTCGAAAAATTGAAAAGTTCAAATTTTAAAGTAGAAATTCCAGTTTCGCATCACAAAAACGCCAAAAATAGGTGAAAAATTGTCAAAAAGGTTTTGAAAACGCAAAAAATTGGAAGTAAGAAATTTCGGAGTTTCGAATTCCGTTCCGAACATCCCTGTTTAGAAGTCTGGAGCTCGGCTGTCAAGTTTTCGATCACTAAAAATTATAATTTGCTGGAAAAAGCGTTGCTGTGTATCTTACTGAGCAATACTGTATCTTAGGTTTTCATTGAGAAATTAATTTCCAGATGTGGAGTTTTTCCCATTCGATGAACAAGTTTGCACTCTGGTATTCGGAAGTTGGACGGTAACTTATTCTGCAGTGTATCCAAAAGGCTAAAGCAGTAATTTTTTCAGTATAACGAAAACGAAATCAAGCTGGAATTTGTTCAAGCAGAGTTAGTAGATGTATCTGAATACTCAGCCAGTTCTATCTGGGATGTAATAGACGTCCCTGCTTCGTTGGTCAATAAGAGATCTCGAATTGAATTTCAAGTCAGAATTCGAAGAAAAACGCTTTTCTATACAGTTGTACTTATTATCCCAACTGTTTTGATGGCTTTCTTGAGTATGGCTGTATTCTTTTTGCCAACAGATTCAGGTAAACCCTTTTTAAATTAAAAATATGTACACTAGATTTTTTCCAGGAGAAAAAATCACATTGACCATTTCTGTTCTTCTTTCGATTGTGGTTTTCTTACTTTTGGTCTCGAAGATTCTTCCTCCAACTTCTTCTACCATCCCTTTAATGGCTAAATATCTTCTTCTAACATTTGTACTCAACGTCATCACTATTTTGGTTACCGTGATTATAATCAACGTCTACTTCCGTGGACCTAGAACACATAGAATGCCTCATTGGGTCCGGGTCGTATTCTTACAGGTAAACTAAACTCAAATCCCAGTTCTCCGTTACATTTTCTTTTACAGTACCTCCCAAAACTAGTGTGCATGAAAAGACCAAAGTCAGCATCGGAAAGAAGCGCAGTCCGTTCTGGAATGGCTCAGCTGCCGGGAGTGGGTCAATTCACTTTGAGTCCCTCCGCCCATCATCCTCTGTGTCCATCAGCAGACGATCGAACGGCGACGATTCGGAACACTACACTCAATGAGACATCTGCATATTATCCATTGAGTACGGATGCTCTAAGGGCAATCGATGCAATTGAATATATAACAGAACATTTGAAAAGAGATGAACAACATAAATCAGTGAGTTTATAGAATACCGTAAACACTCAAACAGAGCGCCCCCAAATTTTGAGCGCATATATCTCGGCTCCTGTAAAAGGTATAGAAAAGTTGGTAACTGACCAAACATTTAAGATAAACAATTTATCAGTTAAAAACTTTTTCATATCTTTGATAGTAACCAAGACATATTCACTCAATGCTAAAAGTTAAAGGGCCCTTCTATTACAGGTTTTACGGTAGATTTCGCAAGATGCTATTTATTAATATTTTCAGTTCCGAGATGACTGGAAATACGTGGCAATGATCATTGACCGACTTCTTCTCTATGTCTTTTTTGGAATCACAGTTGGTGGTACTTGTGGAATTCTCTTCTCAGCACCACACGTTTTCCAAAGAATCGATCAGCAGGAAATGTTGGATCGACTCAAGGAAAAGTATGATACTGCTTCGAATATACCATGATTTACACATTTTTATATCAGAATTTAGTTATTTTTTTCTAGTCCCGTCTATTTTTGTATTTTTATGTCTTTCAAATTCTAAACTTTAAAAGCGGGTTCTTCAATGAACTGGTCTTTATCTCCTTTTTAGTTTGAATATTTTGTGAAAATTATTTTCCACCGGGGATGTTCGGAATTCCGGAAATTCCGATAAATCATTCTGGTTCATTTTTTTGGAATTACCGTAAAACCTGTATAAGAAGGGCCCCCTAACTTATAACTTTGAGCCAGTTTATCTTGATACCCACCAAAGATAAAAAATAGTTGTCAGCTGATGAAATGCTTGTTAGATTGTGATGAACAATTTATCAGTTGACAACTTTGTGACATTATCCACATGTACTGAGATCTATTGTTTCAAAATTTAGAGCTGGGGGCCTCTCTATTACAGGTTTTACGGTGTAGCTGTTTCGCCTACGGTATGTCGAAAGTAGTTTCCAGGTGGGTCTCGAGAGAATTTACTTTAAGTATTTTTTTGCTTTTTTGAAATCTGTGAGATTCTAAAATTCCGAAATTTTTAAAATCGGAATTTTCGACTTATCGAAAAATTCCAAAAAGGCCATTCCGAACATCCCTGTTTCTCACATTGCTGTCAAATGTTCTTTATAAAAAATAACCAAAATAATATTGAAACACTAACCACCTCGATAGATGTTTCATTTCAAAATAAAACACTCAAATAGAGAACAAGTTTCGAAAAAAAAGTAGAAACTACATATTTCGTTTATTTCCACCCAAAAGTCCCCACTTTTTTTTCAAAAAACTCTCTCGTTCGGTAGTTGATTGATGGTTTGTGACCAACGCGAATAAAAAAAAGAAAAAAAGGAGAAGAACATGGGGATTTTGATAGCCATCGAAGGTCACTCTCAATGGCAAAACATTCTTGAAAATAGAAAGAAAATCACGAAAACCCCAACCAACATTTTGAGTGGCTTTCCTATTTTAATACTCTTTACCAAACGTCGTTTTCCATTCTAGGTACAACATGGAAAACGGACACACAAGAAAGGACTATTAAAGAGAAAGAAACTAGGAGAAAGAAGAGATGGAAATTGCCACGTCATCAAGATGATGTCAAATCACATCTTCGGGGAATCGAGGATAAACGAAATTGATTTGAAAAGTCCGATTCATTGATTTAGATAATTTGTTTTTTTCTCCGAAACTCTTGAGATTCGGAAAATGAACAGTTTGGAGAGAGAACAGTGGAAACAAATCACAAAATAGAGACAATTCTTAGACACCATAGAAGTGGAATTTGGTTCTGACGATTATGCGAGTTATGCAAGCAAACACACTCTGTATCCAGATAGTAAAACCTGTAATAGAAAAGCCCCCGACTTTTAACTTTAAGCCAGCTTTTCTCGGTTCCGGTAAAAGATATCAAAAAGTTCTCAGCTAATAAAATGTTTATCATAATTTCAAAAATGTTTTGCAAGTTGACATACTTTTGATACCTTGCACAGGAGTTAAGATAATTGAGCTCAAACTTGACAAGGGGCCCTTCTATAACAGGATTCACGGTATTAATATTCTTGTATCAAAAAAACAAACAATATTTTTTCTACTCGAATTCTATGAAACTTTCTCGACAGCGAATGTTTTCAACATTGCTCGTTTCATGTTTTTTTGCACTCCCCCAAATCTAGAGCAATCGGTAAACATTTTTTCAAACCGTTATGTTTAACGTCTCCTGCTTGACGTCATCTGAGAATCTCCGAATCACAAAAAACTATTAAGTCAATATCAATACACAGTAAACAAACCTTGACTAAAAGAAAATCAAAGTAATCAAAGTAAACACAGGTCACATCATTGAATTTTCACTTCCTTCAATTGGATGAAACTGATTGGGGCATGATCTGAAAACATAAAATGTAGAAGATTTAGATGTATGTGTGACGGTTTAGGATTTGTTTTGTATCCCCCAGATCTATTCATTACGTCACTCTAGTTTGAAACTTCAATACCACTCATCTGTTCAAGTGTTATGTTTTTTTGTATCCATTAAAAAATCGTCAAATTCCCTAAAAAGGTTCGACGTCATCGAGATGGAAAGTTCGTCGAGGAACGATGAAATGAAGTGTAGTCGTCTCATTTTTTCGTACTTCATAGATGACCCTCAAAGGAGATATGGACATTGATCACTGAAAAAAATGATAGAGAAAGGTACAAAGAACAACTGGGAAAATTTAGGATTTTGGAAAAGAAAAGTGGATTTAGAAACTGCAAGAATAAAAGTCGTGAGAGTCTTAAAAAACTGTTTGCATCCAAGAAATTTTTTAAAATTTGGTGCGGTCACACAGCCAAAAATGCTGGAGTTTTCTAGGATTGAAGGCGCATGGAATTGGCAAGTTGCTGATTTTGCTTCGCTCTGAATAAGAAAAAACCAGCGAATTGCTGGTATGCCCTTTGAATAAACGAATAAAAATACCGATTGGAAAATAATAACTGACATGAAACAGAATTGGCCCATGGGAATCTTCCTACTTACAGACGAATCGAAACCAAAATTGAAACCCCTTTGTTCTAGACAAAACGCCATTAAAACAGATTCTTGATATTTTCCAAAACCAAGGGTCATTTCCAATTTGAAACTGTCTATCTGTCCTTGAAACTGTCGAATTCTGACCTATTGTTCGATAGGTTTTTTTCCTTCCAACCTTCTTCCTTTTTTATTTCTTTCCCCTTTCTTCAAATCTCGTTGCCCTTCTGTGGTCATAACAAGTTTAAACAACATTTTCAGACGAATAGGTTTAGATGTTGAAGGAAAAAGAAGAAGAAGACGTCGTGATTCCGTAAAGAGAGAACATCTTTTTTAGTAATTTTAGAGAGAATCAGAGAAATTGTACACACGGAGATACTGGTTAGAAGATGAAAAATGGGCGGAGTCAGGGACAAGGAGGAGCAGAGAAGATGGCGAGTATAAATGTTTTGGTTTTCTAAGAGATTGCATGTTCTCTCGTTTCCTACATTTCAATAGTTTAGGTGTTAAGATCTAAACATCATTTGCATTATTTTTTTATGATAGATTAAAAAGTATATTCAATTAGTGTTTTGTTCAGAATGCATACTTCGTTACTCATATTTCTATCTCTGGTCCCTCTTGCCACGTCCCAAATGATCCGCCAGTGCGGATGTGGAGAGATTCAAGGATGCTTGGGAACAGCCACTGGAGGATTCATGAAGTGCGCTGATCAGTGTCAAAACCACGTAGCAGCCATGGGAGCCAACTATCCAGCATTGAGACAATGTATGTTGGCGAAGGAGCCAGCCATCACCAGAGCTGCCAACTGCCAGAAATCGAACCTCCAGAATGCGTAAGTAACCTAAAAAGCATAGTAACAATAGTCAACTATTTCCAAATTTTTTTCAGATGCTCTCGATCAGGAGGTGGTATGGTTCGCAAACGTTACCCAGAGACACTCAAACTTGCTGCATTCACTGAAGTTAACTCGATCCTGCAGAGATCTGGTAAGTTTTACAGTCTAGAATCCCTATGATTTCAATTATTTTTCTAGGAATCCAAGCCGAAGCAAAGGCTTTCCTCTCAGTCGGAAAGAAGTTTGCCACTTGTGTTATGAAGTGTATGGATCGTGGATCAACTGGACACTGCTATAAGAAACTCGGATGCGGACTCGACCTCCCACCAGATAGCGTTCTTGTCCAATCCACCAAACAATGTGCCATCAACTCCGGATTCGACACTGCTGGAGTCCGTCAATTGTGTAACTGTGTGGCTGGAACTGGAGTCCGCAATCTCGCTCCATTGTGCAATCGCATCACGATCTCTTAATTCTTTTTACAACCTCTTCTTGGAATAATTGTACATTATGGTACCATGATAAGATTTCAAACCTTTGCACATAATCATCTTCTAATAAAATGTTGAAATATTATGTTTTTTCCAGGAAGCAATACGTATCCGAAATTTTTCTGATTTTATGTATTGCAATACATTTGGCTCATTTTCTTATTTAATGTATTTTTTTTATTTTTTCTGATTTCAGTAAAATCAGAAAAATTTTGGATGGCCCAAAGAGAACCGAATATCATATTAACGGGAATAAGAAATTCAGACAGTACTTCTAGCTGTACGCTCACTCCAGCTAGGGTTTTGAGCGGCAATCATTTCCTCAGTGGAGCGCAGTACTAAATTTTAAAAAATTGGAGCTGCGCAACAAAATTATTGCAGCTCAAAAAGATGAGTAAGCTGTAGATTGATTTCTGAAATCAGAGAATAGCGTTCAAATGTGATCAACAATCTTATAGTACAAAAGCAATTCAAAAATTTCTTATTAGAAGAAATAAACGACGATTGAAAAAAAGTTATTCAACAAAATAAATTAAACAGAAAAAATCCCGTAGAAATGAAGTTTTGGCAAAGAACATGTAGAATCTCAGAAGAACGAACCCTGAAAAACGAGAATAAATTAGTTGAGGAATTGTTTAGAATCTTACCAAACTACTGTCATCACTCATCGATGCTTCTTCTCTTGATCTCATTATTTTCGGTGATCCATTCGCTTCAAAAAATACATTATTCGAAGAGTTCAAAGGTGGCAATGAAGAAATATTTGATGATCCCAGATGTCTCATTCCAGAAGACGCCTCGATTCCACTTGTGAATCCTACGTGTTTATAAGAAGAATCCACATGGAAAGAAGGCGTCGATGACGATGGAAGAGGTGGAAGTTGATCCATTTCTTTTGGATTCGTAATTATTCGTAAATTGGGTCGAGGGATTGTTGGAGCTGGAGGAGCATTACCACGAACACAACAGATGATCTTGTCTCCGATTGGTAATAATTTGGAGAGTGTTGATAATCATCTGATCGAGGTGATCGAGATGTTGGCTCATTCCAATGGGACAGCGCCACGTGTTGATTATCATTTGTGTCGGTTTTTCGAACCCAAGCGATGATTCTAAATAAGGTTATCAAATGATATAATCAGAGTGACTGGAAATTGTAAAATAAATTAGACATTCAAAAAAACTTACTGTTTTCTGAAGCAAAACAGAACCACCAGAACTATAATAAGCAAAACTCCGAAAACTATTGGCAATACTATTTTGATTGCGTTCGAATTCTGATGAGCTGGTTTCTGAAACAAAAACTCATTATTCAGAATCAAAAACAAAACATACCACTTCTGGCACACAATTCCTAATGATCAATGAATTGTTCCCGCTAGATTGTAGCTGACAGTTACATCCTTCGGTTGGGATATCAGCTGAACACGTCGATTGACATGTTACAGGAACGTCGATGGCATCTTCTGAGAGATCAGTACATGGTATACAGTGGTCACTATTCGTTTGGTTCTGAAATTTTGTTTTTGAAGTTCAGAATTTTTATTTTTGAAGTTCAGAATTTCATCCGATACCTGGAATGTTCCCTGTTCACAAGTGATGCACATTTGACTATAAGTTGTGTTCGGTCCAGCTGTTATATTTCCGTTTCTCTGAAAAGAGGAATGTTATTCTGCATTGAAAACAATGGAATCCAACCCGTGTGTTAGCATCAATGCAGTTAAGAACGTTGCAGTCATTTATGGATTTCGAACCTTTTGAAGAAGTGATCAATCCACGTGGGCACTGAATACATGCACCTCGAGAACCCTGAATTCGGAATACTATTTTGAAATTTAATTGAAATTCGTTTTGACTGTTACCTCTTTATAGAATCCAACATCACAAACATGACAATATGGCTCTATTTTGTCTGCACTTCTGATCATTTCCTGACCAGGATCGCAAACTTTTGTGCAGTCATCGAAGGTTTTAGATTCATCTGAAGACTTTAAAAAATAGGAGAATGGGGATAATAAATCACCTCCATAAGTTGAAATATCGAAACCACAACATATGCATCTCTGAAGTCCTTCAGTTGGTCCGAACGTTCCGACAGGGCATCGAAGGCAGACGCCATTCGATTCGTATTGTCCAATTGGGCAGATTTCTAGAAAATACATAATTTTCGATTTTCAAAAGTTCAAAATTAATACTATAACACTGCGATTCGTCAAAAGCTCCTGTCACTTCTCCAGTTGTCGTGCCATCCGGACATTGAGTGCATGATAGCTGGTCAGGATTCGATGAGGATCGATAAGTATTTGCTGGACATTCCATACACTGATTCTGTGTGACATTGGCAAATGTTCCTTCAGCACAACTCACTTTAAATATTTTTTTTGTATGATTTTAGTCTGATTCCAAAATATACTAACCACAAGTAGTGATAGTCCCAGTTGTATCGTGGATCGGGTAGGATGGATCACAGTCGACAGTGGAATCCTGTCGAACTAATGTAAAGTTTGTTTGAAGTTGAGACAACACTGTTGTACTGATTGTCTCCGTCGCATTTCTGAGAGATTTTCAGCTTCGAAAGTGTGACCCAATATATTATTCTGGTCTAATTTCATTTTTCGGTTCGATAGCGAAATCCTTAAAGGATCATGTATTTTTCGTGACTATTTTCTAGCAATTATTTTCTCGATTTGCTGGCAAATTTTATAGATATGAAACACCGTGCAACTCGCAAAAAATCGCATTAAAAAAGAAAATTATTGAAACATCGAAAAAATAGGCCAGAAAACTACTACGAAATGCTTCGCCTTTGGATTTAAGCTCCGTCCGCTCTCAAAATTTTGCAACGCGCATTGAAACCAGAGTAACACTTACTTTGTTGAAAAGGTATACTGTAGTGCATAACTTCCGCTTTCCACATCTGCCATGCTACCAATTGAAGTTTTGTTGCATGGAGGACGAATAGAAATATGACACGAAGCAATTTTATCACAATTGACAGAAGTCCAAATGATGTCATAAAGTTTTCGATAAACGTGTTCACAGGTACCATCCCCCACAACTGTCCCATTAATTGCTTGCTCGGCTGGCACTGTTTTTCCACATGCCGGAAGATAATATTTTCTTTGTGTATCATCCAACCATCCACCGTATTGAAAATCACCCTAAAAAGAATATTTCAAAAAGAAAACAATACGAAAACAACAAACCATAATATCACAAACATAGAACTTTGGTCGATTTTCAACTGGATATAGTTTATCATTACACTCCACAAAAGCGACTTTCGATGTGAAAGGTGCCATTCTCGTAGTTCCAAAACGAATCGTTCCTCCTTTAACGAAGATTTGACTTTCAGAAGGACACGCCTTCTGAACTACGACAACATCGAAAGTGCATTCTGCAGAATTTCCAGCAGCGTCAAAAGCAATGTATCTGACTGCAGTTATTCCACTAGACATTTGAAAATTTTAAATTTATGGTGGATTACGGCAGACTTACATTCCAAATTGCTGACCGTTATGATAGTTAACTTCGACTCGAACGACTCCAATGTTATCGAAAAATGAGATTTCGTCATCTGACCATTTGACTTTGATGAAATCTTCCGAAGTAGTTACATATTTGTTCAGAGGACATCTCAACACGGTCGGCGAGATTCTATCCTTGGCTGAAAATATTCTTCAATTCGGTATATTTAATCAATAATTTTTACTCACCACAAGATCCAGTTGAATTATAATTGTTGGAGTTTGCCTGCCTTCCAAACATACATTTCACACTGCTACAAATTCCTGAAATCTGAATATCGTATGAAGATATTTTGATAAATTACAGTACCAGATGGGTCAATGAATACTCCAGGGTTTGAAGAAGAGACGCGAGTAAAACCCCCATTCCAACTGATCAATGTGTTGCTTGCTATTTCAGAGCTGGTTTCGTTTATTGTCTGAAATTGGTTGATTTGTTTTATTCTTGAAAAATTACAACATACAGTATAGCAATCATAAGCCAATTGTCCGATTTGCGTTTCATTCAATCGTATGATGTATAGCTGAGTCATTGAAATCATTCCAACAAATCGGTTATAAGTTTTGTTGGTTAGATCAGGTGGAGCTAACTGCAGATATCCGCTTGGTCCTGGCTGAAATTTTGAAGACATTTTTGAGAAAAGAAGTTATTTTAGTTGTATTACATTAAATATTGGAGCTAGTTGCGGAAGTAGCTGCACACCGTCCAGGTAGATTGTGTAACTCGGACTTGTCAGATTCTCAGGACTCACGATGCAGAACTAAAAGTATACATAAGTTCAGGCAACATCGAAAACAACCTACATGATGCCAAGTGTTTGCAGAAATCGTAGTAGGTCTGTAATTGGTTCTTTTGGAAGGTTCATCTCGAGTACACGTGTCATCTGGGTCGCAGATGAAGAATCCTTTGTTATCGAACACAATCTTTTGGGATTTTCCGTATCCTCTAGCAATTAACCAGGGGAGAAGAGTTGGAATAGAACCATCTTGTGCTCCATTTGATTCGATGGCTGGGTGATTGTATTGGACAAAAGAGCATATCGTGAATTGAGCAATTGAAACGTTGAAAAATGGTTTGGAGACAATATCAGGAGCATAACCCAACCCATTGAATACCAAATTGAAGTTGAAGTTGGCTTCTAGAATTTTCTAAAAATTAAAAATCTGAAAAATACAAAGGCACTCACTAATATCGCATCTTCTTCCGGTGTAATCCGTCCCATCACAATTGCAAGATGCTCCATTTTCAGTCACCGTACAGTTTCCATTATGGAGACAATAAGGAGACGTGGAGCCGTTCGGCATTGTGATGATGCATGGTTGCTTAAATTGAGGTATCATTCAAAAGAACTAAAATGAAATGAACCCCCAGATCCTGACATCTATCCCCTGTACTACCAGGAATGCATGCACATGTGCCGTTAGATTCGAGACATGTTCCACCGTTAAAACAAGTTATATCACGGCAACTGTGCTAAAAAATAGATGCAATCAGTAAAAATTAGGTATTTGGAGTTCAATGTACAATTTGGTTTTCACATCTGTCACCAGTGAAGTTCGGACGGCATTCACAGATTCCTGATTGTGGAACACATGATCCATTGTTTTCACATATTATTGAGTTAGTTTGGCATTTATCCTGAAGCATAAAGTCAGTCAAAACTTTGACTTTTTGATAATATTACCGTGTTAGTTTCACAATAAGTTCCACTGAAAAATTCAGGACAATCACATTCAGAAGTCGTAGAATTGCACGTGCCTGAATTTTGACACAAAAGAACGTTCGCCTTACACACATCCTGTTAAAATATATGAATTACAAGTAGTCTTTTCGGATTCCGTTGCTATATTATTAGCTAAAAAATCGATTCCTTACATCTACTTGATCACATAATGGACTTGAGAATCCATCATAGCATTCACAGAAAATCGTTCCATTAGATTCATGGCATCCATAAGAATGAGAACACTGATCTGAACACTGAAAACATGCATTTGTTAGTTTTGTTAGAATTCGAAGGAGTGAAAGCATGCGCATTATCATTCACGATCTCACTGCTGTGGTATACGTACTTTTGTGAGAAAGGGCGTGTCAGCTGGAAGTTCATTCTTGGCTTTGCCACGCCCCTCCTCATTAGAGCGCATCCGCATACTCCAGCAGTTTGAAACTTATGATCTCTTACTCTTTGCTCGCAATAAGTTCCAAAAAACTGATCAGTACAGTTACAGACGGCGCTTCCCGGAGAAACTATTGAACATGTTCCTCCATTTTCACATGTAATCAATTGTGAGCAATCTGGATTCTCTTTTATTTCGCAATTTGTTCCAGAAAAACCTGAATCGTTTTTCATTATCAATTGAATTTCAAGAAAAAAAACTCACCTGTTGGACATGTGCAGTTATACGATTCAATTAAGTCTCTCTGAACGTCAATGTAATTAAAAGTCTCGCATTTTCCTCCGTTAAAACATGGATGGAAATTACAGTCGTTTACAGTATCAAGACAATGAGTACCACTAAAACTTCAACTTTAATGTAATTTCTGATTAGCCTGCTAACCTGAATCCAAGATCACATTGACACCGAACATTCAATGTGAAATTGTTGAAACAGTGTTTAGAATTCTGACAAACTGAACAGTCGTCCACTTTTGGTTGAATTTCACAGTAAGTTCCTTAATTAGGTAGATGATAGTCTCTTTTTAGTTAATTTTTAAATTAATTTTTAATTCTCACAAACCTAGCCATCCGGTACTGCTACAATCACAGTTTTGCTCTCCACTTGTTTGATTGAAAATGCATTTTCCTCCCTGCTGACATGGATTGTTGAGCTGGCACATATCCCAGAGAATCTGAGAATCAAATATGAGCAAGGAAAATTATTTGGGACAAATACTGACTGTACAATTCCCATAGAAATCTGGAATGTATCCGTCAAAGCAGTTACAGTACATATTGCCGTTTTCATTGTGACATACTCCGTTTGCGCAGTCCTTTTCGCCGTAGCAGCTGAAAAAAAATATTCGAAATCCGATCTGTACTTTTTCCCTTACGTATCAAGATCTTTTGCTATTTCACAGTGATCGCCTTCAAACATTGACGTGCAATTACATATTCTTCTGTCCAAATCGCAAGTCCCTCCATTTTGACATAAATACTGATGATTGTTGGTTTCATTAAAACAGAATTTGCTGACTCCACAAGAACGACCGTATGTTCCTGGAATATTTCATCGTTTTGAAAATCGTGAAATCTGTGTATCTGAAGGTTCTCTTTATAAGAAGAGTCCCTTCAAGAAAAGTACAGAGCAAATTGAGGGTACAGAATCCTCAATTCGGGGAAACAAAATACCGAAAAAAAACCAATTGTAGTTACCCCGAACTGTGGAGTTTGCACCTCTAAATCACTGTGTACCCCCTTGTACCCCCGAAATGTAGTACCCTCCGAGTCATGTGCCCAGTTTTAAAGAAATTCGTGAAAAAAATTGTGAAATTGAAAGAACTTCAAGGGTTTTGAAAGAATGCATCAATATTTTAACGAGATTATCGGAAGATAAATGATGGTCGAAGAGCCCCCAGAAGGGACAATATAAGACTGGTCCTTCTGATATAGGTTTCACGATGTTTTGAATTGTTTTCTCACCTGGACCACAAATGCAAAGGGCACCACCGTCGAATGGGGGAGGTGTATATTCACAATTGCCGGCAACGCATACATTACATCCACTTTGTTCATGCGGCTGAGGGGTCGTTGTTGGCTCTACAAGACAACGGACACCGGGAATCGCATATTCAGTGTCCACACTGTCACAGATGTTGGTTGCAATTGCGTTCTGTAATTCAATCATGAATTACTAAAAGTGATGCGAACTCACCTCTGAACCGCGTATCACCATATAAATGAAACTGTTATTTGAAGCAGAGCCTTGGTATTGACAAAAATCACCGTAGAAGGCTGAAATGCGGAAATTCTAGAACTTCTTTAGTATAATTCTTCTATTACAAAAAAATCGGAGCTGTAAAAGAAAAACACTGGTGGCTATGGCCGAAGGTCCCACAACGAACAATACAGTAATCTAAAAATATATTGTTTCCAGGATATTTTCTCGTTTTGATGATTTTTGTTGCTTTTTCTATTTTTTTTCCCAAACAAGACTTAAAATTAAAATTTTTGACATTAAAAAAATTGGCTGAAAATCAGTTAAAAAGAGAAAATGAATCCAAAAAAAAATATTTTTAGGTTACTGTAGTTGTCGTTGGGAGACCTTCGTCAACGGTGACCGGCATTTCTCTTTCACGGCTTCGATTTTGTCGTACCATTTGTCACTTACAGTATCCTGATACATTTGCGCATTTGATCTCATCATTATCGAGTCCTGTGTCACAATCATATCCACTATTTCGAGTTTGACTGGTCAATTCACAGTGGTTCGGTCGACAGTAAGGATCTCCGTTTGGTTGAATATCTCTTATGAAGTCTAAAATTAAAATGTAAATGTCTGTTCAAAATTGGCAAACTCACAAGCATTGCAAATACAATCAAATCCTCCTCCAGTATTCACACACTCTCCATTTTGGCATACATTCAACGAGCATTTATTTACCTGATCGAACTGGGCTATTGGAGCAGGCGTAACACCTACATACTTGACTATACAGAAATTTAATAACTAATTTCTTACAAATTGGTTTTGTCTCACAGAGACATGGGGTTTTTTGAATCACCCATCCCCTACGACTGTCACAATATCCATTTACCGCAGGTAGTCTGAAACTCAAATTTCTTTGAGATAATTGTGATCAAGGTGCAAGTATAGGGCAGTCTTCTAATCACAGTGCTTACGGAAGTTTTTTATATCTTACCTTTGATTGTTGGTGCATGTTGCTGAGAGATGTCTTCTCATGGAAAACGGTTTGGATGATTTTAAATGTAATCCATCATAATCCACTTCATCACATACGCTTTCTCGAATTGTCACTCCACATATTTTGACATATCCATTGGCAGTAATTGACACAGCTAAGTTGGGTTTCAAATTTTTCAATTTCACAACAAAACTTCCTGATGACGTGGTGTTCATCACAGGTCGAAAGTCGGAAATTGAAGGAATGAAGCCGTCAGATGAAGATGTGACGCCTACTTGAACGCTTGAATTACATTGAGAAACATCAATTAAAAGTTCAATTTGGTCAGCAGTAAGTTGAATTGGAACAGAAGTGACTAAGAAAGAGACAGGGAATGTCCATTGATGAATAATGCAACCGGTCGGAGTCCATATCCACTGAAAATAGTTTTCTTTTCAAATCCAACTCAATTTTTAACAACTAACATCTCCAGAGTGAGTCCATAGCTCCTGTTGATCCAAAATGCTTCTCTCTTCGAATTTCATACTTCCTTCAATCACAACATCATCATATGCTATAAAAGAGCCTTCTGATCCAGTGGGTTGCCACGTGGACTCTGTAGATGGGTCTCGAGACGACTGCGTGGTTCCAGATGAGGACAGGAATGGGAAAAATGTGAAAGCAGTTGGAGTTAATGTTGTTGCAGCTGGCGCTGTATTAGAAGAAGTATATGAAGATGTTGTAGACGTTGAGATACATTTTGGGATTTCCGGAGCCCATTCTGAAAATAAATTGCGTTGTTCTTTAGAATTCAATTTCAACTGACCATAATTTGTTCCTCGAAGGATACATGTCACCGCCCCATTACCCTCTGGCATTCTGTACCCATCTGCACATGCCAAATTTACCACTGTCGTTATCTCGAAACCACGTCCTCCCAATGGACGATCGATTCTTTGTATGATAAGAGGCCAGGTGATGAATTGAGTTATATTCGAACAGCTTTGGTCTGAAATAATCAATTTCCAGAATATGTTTATAGATGATTCATAATTCTTACAAATGCATGCGGGTAAAATTTCCCAACTCGCTTGCGCATTGCAAAACACTTTTGGGCGTCCTGCAAAATGAAATTTATGAAAAAGCGTTCAGCAGGATTGCAATCGACCTATCATTGTCTGTGCTTTATTTAGACAAGAGACATCAAGTGTTTTGAAAATGTGAAACGAGAGTAAACCATCTGTTGGGTAGGAGAAATTCCTCTCTATCAGATTGTATACTGGACAGGCCATTGTTGGATTGGGTTGAGTGATCCACATATCTTGAATACAAGATTGCTGGAATTGGTATACACACTTGTATCCATCGGAATTACAAATGTTTGTTGCGTATAAGTAATCCATTGCAGTGCCACTTCTGTAATCTTTTTGGTGTAAAATACAGATAATTTCGATTTAAAGAATAGAATGCTAGGATCCCGCAAAAACTGTACTTGTAATAAACAGAAGGATCCGGTGGATAAATCACTTTGATGTCATATTTATCCTCCCAATCATTTTTGACCACACAGGTAGTTTCTAAAAATGATTTTTATTTCGAACTGTTTCAGATGAGATAAACACAAACCAACACAACTGTATCCATCAATCAACCATTGACTGATTTTAGACCAATGAGAAACATCTTCTCCCGATGCATTATAAAGATGGTAATTGGTTGGGCAGTCACAAGTGAACCCACCTGCGGTGTTTTGACAATACCGGTGATCGTCACAAAAATCTGATTCTTCCTCACATTCATTTCTGTCTGAATTAAGAAATTGATTGAAGGATTATATAGAAAAAACCTGAACTCACCCTGGCATGTTCCATTGTAAAATTTATAACCATTGATACAGTCGCAACTGTAAAAGCCAGAATGTTGAACATAAGATCCGTATGGCATGCAAGGATCTTGGAAGCCTGAAAATATTTTATTTGTTTATTCAAAAGGACTTCAAAAAGTACCAGACTCGTCTTGACATCTGCATTCAAAACTACCGTATGGCTCAACATATCCTTCTAACGTTTTCCAAAGTCCATCCTCACATGTATAGTGTTTTATCACAGTGTTGCATAGCATGCAGTTCATATAAATCTGAAACGAAACGAGTTTGGATTTTTAGATTAGGCCAAACACTCACAGGCTCTCCAGAGCGGAAAACAAATCGCCCTGCTGGAAGAAACATGGCATCAGATGTCTGTGGAAGAATACAAGCATTCAGGATCCCTCCTTCTACATCGTCGTAACACTTCCATGAATTCAAAGATGTCGAACTATCTCCACAAACACAAAACGGCGGGAAGTTGTAGTTTGTGGCATGCAAGTACCGTCTGATGACTCCGTATGCGGTTTCATACGTATCCGGATCGAGATGTTTTTCGATTTCAACTGAAGTCTGAGATGGACAATTTATTGGAAGACAACGAACTGTCGGATGTTCTGATGGGTATGTATGCTTGTTGTCATCTTCCCATGTTCCGTTTTCTGTGCATTGCAGTATCGACGCACTGTCACTCAGAAGATATCCTTGATTGCACTTTATAAAAACAATCGTTCCAATCGGATACATCTCATCAGAAACATGCATAATATATCCGTATACCACAGATGGAAGTTTACATATTCCGTTGCTTTCTGAGTTTTTTGTTTTTTATTTAAAGAGGGGCCCAGTATCCAAGGGTACATCAGAAAAGGGTACATCGAGATCTTAGGGTACATTGGATCAGAGGGTACATCAGATCTTAGGGTACATCTGGGAGGTAGGGGTACATCTCATGGTGGTTCTAAGGGTACATCAGGGAAAGGATCCCAGAGTACATCGAAAAGTTCTTAGGGTAAATCAATCAAAAATACTGTAGTTGTCGACTGGAAGATAATTTGGTCTAAACTGCACCATTTTATTTATTTTTTTTTGTTTGTATTTGTTTGAAAATTACCATTTTTTCATAGTTTTATGGATTGATAGATTTTTTGAAGTTTGTTTTAAAAGAGCTTATTATACTGAAATTGGCAATAGGAAACAAGTCGAAAACTTGATATTTATCAGAACGAACTTTCAACCAAAACCACATTTCAAATGTGCCAGGACAGGAAGCATTGTAAATTTGAAAAAAAATCCAAATTCTTTGAGTCCTGTAAATTTTGAGTCCTGTAAATCGGCTGTGAGTCCTGTAAAAAAGGCAGTGAGTCCTGTAAAAAAAGGAGTCCCGTAAATCGACAAAGAGCCGTTGCATCCGCTGGCCTAGAAAATTCTGGAAACTCTTCCATGTGAATTTCGAACAATTTTTTGGGATACAAACACAAAAATCGCAGTAAAAGACACATTTTTGAGAAAAAAATCACATTTTTTACATGAAAAATTTTTTTGAACAACGACAGATAAAATACAGAGGCGAGCGATCGGCAACGTCATCGGAAACAACTGAAATCGATAACCTGGCCTAAAAATTAAATTTTTGAGACAAATATTAGATATTTTCCGACTGATTTCTGATTTCGGAAGACCAGATTAGGATTTTTTACCCAGTTTTGATGTTAGAATTCGGAATTAATGAATTTTCATTGATTTTCGTTTCGTTTCCACAGATTTTGACACCTGCAGAAAAATATGACAGCGAAAAACCATACTTGTAATCCAGGCCTTTGCCGGGCCCTGCCATAATTTCTATCAGAATCATTATTTTCGAACCAACTAAATCATATATATGATATGATAGAGCTCCACGAGTACTACAAAACGGTATCATTTGTAATACTGTATCTTATCAATGAAAAAAGTTACAGATCATAAAGTGGCTTTTCTCGCAGGGCCCGGCAGGCCCGGGCCGGGCCTGCTTTTTTTTGTTCCTTTTGCTCTGTAACTCTCATATCTGATTGAGTTGGTTCGAAAACATTGATTCTGAAAGAAGTTATGCCAGGGCCCGCGAAGGCCCGGCAAAGGCCCGGATTACAAGTATGCGAAAAACTAAAAGTAGATGACTTTCAGTCATAATTTTCAGAAGTTTCGACTAGCCAGTGCTCATTTTCATTCCTTGTCTGGAAAACCTTCTGAAAATTATTGCTTTCTCCGCCTCCGCACTCCTTTCTACTTTAGAAACCACCGAAGATATGTACGGGTTGTGGTGGCCAAAGCGAACCTTGGCAAAGTGGTCTAGTGGTGTGTTTGCGTGCACGGAAATCTACAGTCGCGGGTTCAAGTTCGACCAGACCCAAATGTTCTGTTTTTGTGTACTTGAAAACTAATTTCATTTCGTAGTCTTTTTAACGATTTTGTACCATTATGTTTCCGACAAATCCGAAGATTTTGAAAGAATTTGGATTTTTTTTCAAATTTACAATGCTTCCTGTCCTGGCACATTTGAAATGTGGTTTTGGTTGAAAGTTCGTTCTGATAAATATCAAGTTTTCGACTTGTTTCCTATTGCCAATTTCAGTATAATAAGCTCCTTTAAAACAAACTTCAAAAAATCTATCAATCCATAAAACTATGAAAAAATGGTAATTTTCAAACAAATACAAACAAAAAAAAATAAATAAAATGGTGCAGTTTAGACCAAATTATCTTCCAGTCGACAACTACAGTATTTTTGATTGATGTACCCTAAGAACTTTTCGATGTACTCTGGGATCCTTTCCCTGATGTACCCTTAGAACCACCATGAGATGTACCCCTTGAACCTACCTCCCAGATGTACCCTAAGATCTGATGTACCCTCTGATCCAATGTACCCTAAGATCTCGATGTACCCTTTTCTGATGTACCCTTGGATACTGAGCCTCAAAGAGGGACTCCGACCAAAGTTTTTTTTTTGGAAATTTTTTAGAAAATTTGAGAACAAAAAAGTCTCGTTGACCTCAAAAACGGCTCAAATTTCCATAAAAATAATTTGGACGTGAACTAAGCGCGCTTGAATTTTCGACGGCGTTTTCGGGAATCTCGATTTTTTTCTGAATTTTTCCGAAGTACTATTATGAAAGTACGTAACATTGGGAAAATTTTAATACAAAAATTTCGAACAAAAATGTTAACCAAATTTCGATCAAATTTTGGTCCCCCTTGAACACATAAAACTGTATCTTACGTATTTGATTGGTAGTCGTTTCTACGAATGATGTCGCTGATTCCAATTCTGAATTGTTCTCATCGAAATACCTTCCAGAATCTTCTATGCGAGTTTCTTGGAAACTGTAGATAGAGTGAAATTCAAATGGTTCAGCAGATTGATGGATGACTACAGTAGTCGGTCCGAATCCAGAAAATGTACTTGAATTCGTGAGATACGCAGACTGGTTTTTAGATACAATCTTAAAATTTATGAGTTGAAACACATTATTTCCAGACAACCCACTCACCTGAACATTATCTTCACTGCAGCTTTTTGCAAACTTCTTCACATCCCACGTAGATCTAACTGATTCTGATCCTTCAAAATCTTCTGATGACGTCATTATCATATTAACAGTGAGAGTTCTAAACTGTCCACTCATACAAATTTCACTTGATCTTGGTATCCACTCAATTTCCAAATTAGTATCAACAAGAAAAACGTCTTCTTTTTCTTCGTTTCCAGCTTTTATTTCAAGAAATTGAATATCCAGTTTTGTGTTACTATCTGGCCATGATGATTTGACATCGATATTCAAAGAATTCGACGGCACAATTAATAACTTTTTGGATTTTCTTGGTGCCAGAGATATGGTCATATTGTTGAATTGTATTGTGGCAACATCTGGAGCATTGCCTTCACATTTTCGTAACAAAAGTGCCACGTATGAAGAGGGAATCTGGGTTGAGAAATGGTAGTTGCAAGACATCGGAATGAGTTCAGAATTGAAAAATAGTTGATTTCGTTCAGTCAGTTTACATAGGGAATTGTCTGAAATTCGGGAATATTTTTGAGATCTAAGCGGAAAATTCACCTGCATCTTGGTAATGAACTTGGAATTCGATTTTTCTGGTATCCGTATTAGAAGCAGTCAAAAGGAAAGACGAAGATGTCAGAGTGATAGATGACGTTGCGTTTCTAGAATTCAGAAATATTCTGCCGTTTTGATCCTTTCCTTCTATTGCAATAGTAGTCGATGTTACTGGGGACATCCATTTTATCTGAAATTTAAAAAATATATATTTTGCAGTTTGTATGTTGAAATTTAGTGATTCAATATTTTAAAATGCTGCATTCAATTTTTTTTGTAGTAACATCTTCAATGTTTTTCAAGAGCTCAGGGTATACACCTTACTTTTTAGAAAACTCTGTATAATTAGAAATCCGTTAAACGCAATCTCAAAATAGGACTGGCGTTCTGCTGGCTCAGTGTGCACAGTACTGCTATGTCTCCATATATGTGGGTATACCCAATCTTGTATCCGTATGTCATTTCATAGCAATCATGCTTATTTTGAGAACCAATGAAAATGTTTTCCATTTTTCAAGTCTTTAAAAGTCTTACCCAAATAATGAAATGATGATCATTGGGAGACAAAACAGTCCATTTATGCGTACATTCTCCTTTTCCGTATCTCAGCGTTGTTGGAGATAAAACTCCCCCGCTCGATACAATCATTGGCCATTCATAAATCGGATTCACTCGCAAAATACTTGATAAAATCGAATTTGGAGTTGACGAAGAAATAGGAAGAACTTCATCCACGAATTCATCAGATCCATCAAGACAATCCTTGAATCCGTCGTGTTGAAATGAGGAAGGTATGCATTTTGAATTGTCAGCACATCGAAATGTTCCCGGAAGACAAGCATAGTTCTGACACAGAATTGGTAGTTGATATGAGCATGGAAGAGCTCTCCATCCAAAATTTGAAGAGTTTCTGAGATCTAATGCAATGCAACTACCCGCAAGTTGTCTTGATGTGAGATCCTAAAATATTATTTTTTGGAAGAAAAACCAAAAAAGAATATACCTCTGGAGGTTGCCCTTCAGCCCACAACGGATTGTACATTGATGTGAAATCGGCCACATTCATGGTATCATCAGTGGCATCTGCTGATTCAACTACAATCACTTCATCGTTTTTCACAATTAATCCTGTCCAGTACAATTTCATTAGATCTCGACTTTTTTCTTTCATGAAAAGTTCCAAAAGTTGTAAAGCTATCAACCAATTCGTTTCTCGATAACCGATACTGTGGTTCACACTGAAAAAAAACACTTTTTTGAACGAATTTTTCAATTTTCTCAAATTGCTTACGCTCCACACATTTGAGCTGCTGTCGAGTAGTTTCGTTCGAATTGGGTTAGTGGAAAAATACACGTGGCGGTGAGATGGTACCATCCTTAATACTTCATCATAAGCCGTTTTTGAATTGTTCCATCTACTAACCTGGTGCTTGTTGAAAGCAGTCACTATACATTTCCGTGTCATAATATTGAGGGTTTGTACAGTAACCCAGGATAATTAAAAATGATGAGATTTGTAAAAACCATCTCAAAATCGTCATAATATTGTCATTGGGGAAGCGAATCTACACCTAAATTAATGGAAATTTGTGAAAATAGACAACAAAATGAAGAGAAACGAGGGAAAGAACAGGTGCTTATCATCATCATCACTTATCATGTTTCACTGCATTTCTTCGTCTCTCTTAGGTACAGTAATCTCTCACTTGGGGCTCGCGGAGCAAGACGAAAAGAGCACTCGAAATGGACATGACTCAAAGATATACTTTTGGAGGGAGGGAGGACACAGTTTGAAGGGAGTGGCACTTCTTGACTGATAACAAGTAATTACTTTATCTTCAGTCTATTGAAATCTAAATTAACTTCGAAAGAAACGAAACAAATTTATAGTAAAATCTGTATTATAAGGGTCCCTCTAATAATAGAAGGGTTCCTCTAATAGAAGGACCCTCCGCGATAGGCTAAAAAGGGCCCATAAAAACTCGTCGTTGGAGGTGAAACAGTTCCGTACGTGTTCAGTGTAAAATATTACAGGAACTCCTAAATTTCACTGAAACATTGTCCCAAGAGGTTATAGCTGCCTAAGGAGGAATCAGTGCGGAATGAGGGACCCAAAGCTTTGAGAGACCTAAAATTTTTATACGAGTGCTCAAGTTATCGTGCTGTGAGGGTCAGATTTTGATTCATTTTTTTTCTCCAATTGCTTATTTCTATTTTTCAATTTCTATTCTTCGACTTCATTTTTTCACTTCTAATTTTCTTTTCAAATTATCTATATTTTTCATTCACGTAACGCAAGAAATTAACCAATCAAGGTCCTATCGTTCTGCTGAAAAAAATCCACATACTGAACGAAAAAACTAGTTCTTTCTTAAACCACACTCTTTGAAATTTATTGTTGGATAATTTTCACAACACTTCTCTTTGGTAAGAAGCTCTTTGCATACGCTTAACTTTTTTGGTTCATTTTCTTTTTTTCTTTCGATGGTCGATTGCGAAAAGAGTACTAGAATGGCTAGGTAGAATCATTTCCACTGAACGTCCCCCTCTTGCAAAAGATTCAATCAAAGATGAAAAGAAATGAACAAATATCAATAAAAAGCGTACGCAAGGCTTCTTACAAGGGAAAAGGAACTTTGAAAAATATCCAACAATGGTTCTAGGAGACCAGGGCGTGTGGACCCTTTCATGTACTGAGCCTCTACGTGGCGAAAGGGATCAACAGACGAAAGTCTGGCTAATCAGTAAACTATTGCTACTTTTTTCAAAATTTTTGATTTAAAAACGTATTTTTTCTGTTGATTTTTTATTTTTTCTGTTGATTTTTACAAATTTCAGAAACCTGAAGCTCATTTTTTCACTTTTTTTATTTCGACCCAATTTTTTCGCTTCCAATGTTTTGTCCTCATTTTTTCGTTTCCAATTTTTTGGTCCATTTTTTTCACTTCCAATATTTTGTCCTCATTTTTTCTAAAATTATCATTCTTATAATAAATAAATGAAGTTGCGGCTCTTTCTTTATGTATCTCTGTTTGTCCGCAAATTTTGGAAAGCTTGAAAATTAAATATAAATTGACGTGAGTTTCAAAAAAAAGTGAGGAGCGAAGCGACGAAAAATTGAAAAATAGGTCAAATCGCGCCGAAGGCGTACCAGCCAGTTGTTTGAAGCGCCGGAGGCACGACAAACACGCAGGTTTTTTTTGAGTTCCGGAAAAAAATCGTGTTTTTCATTTTCAAATTTTTGCGCATATTTTTTTCATTCCCAACTTTTCACTCTGTATTTTTCACTTATTTATTTTATCACTTTTAATTTTTCGACCCAATTTAATGCATATTTTTTCATTCTCAACTTTTCACTTCCTATTTTTCACCACTTAATTTTTCGACCCAATTTTTTCACTTCCAATTCTTTGTCCTCAATTTTTCATTTCCAAAAATTTTGGTCTCAATTTTTCATTCCCAAGTTTTCACTAAATATTTTTCACCTTTTAATTTTTCACTTCCAATTTTTTTCCTCAATTTTTCATTTCCAAATTTTTGGTCCAATTTTTTCATTCCCAAGTTTTCACTAAATATTTTTCACCTCTCACTTTTATTTTTTTTTCACTTTTAATTTTTCGACCGAATTTTTTCGCTTTCAAAGTATTCACCGAAATTAATTTTTCAGTACAGTATACCGATTTTAGGACGGAGCCTCGTAAATCGACACGAACGCTGCCCGCGAAAATTTTCAGGTGTCAGTTTTTTCATTTCGACAATACATTAGAAAAGTTTTTAAAAGTTGTATTTCTTTCCGATTTTCTTCTGGAACATTTACCACTATCACACCTTGTCTAACTAACTGACTAACTGGTTCTGTTCATTTTTTTTCACTTTTTGTGTTGATGTTAATATGTTAACTTTTCACTTCTTTTTTTTCTTCAATAAAAACGAACAATGACATTCAAATAAAAAGAACTTGTGACACTATACATAAAACATTTTCATGAGATAGTGAACTGAGAACTTTTTAGACTAGAGTGAATAGTTGTTTGTAGAGTTTATTCAAATCTGGAAGCTCTTTTTAACAATTCGAAATTCACTTCTCTGAAAGTTTGTTGATCTTTAAAAAAGGAACGCTAAAAGATGGCGATAAATTGTTTTGTGATGTTCAAAAAAGCAAGAGAAAATATTTGAGTTAAAAAACATCATTTTTATGAGAAATAGATTTGAGAAAGTTCTCACATTGAAAATTACTCCTGTCTAGCCCGGGCTTTTAGTTATTCTCTCCTGTTTTTTTAAAGAATTTCCGGTTATCATAGAGATTTGAAAATTTTCAAAATTTTATATCGAAAAAAAATGTTTTTTTCCGATCCACATAATAACCGTTCCACTTCCGAAATATGACCAATTTAGGTCAAAGGTGTCGAAAACTGTCACTGTCAACAGTTGTTCATCTTAGAACTACATGTTACCAATTTGAAATCCAACTGAACATTTTTTATTTTTTGAGAATTTCCCCCTTAAAAGGGGATTCCTTCAAAGGGGATTTTGACCGTAAAACTTTGTTTTTTTTTTGTATTAAAATGTTCCCAATATTAAGTATTTTCGTGATATTACTTTGCAAAAAACCGTTTTGTAAGAATAATTCAGTTTTTTCAAACAGTTCAGAAAAACGACTGGAAACAGCAAAACGTTCTGGAAAATTGCATGAAAAACCAGCATAATACCAAAAAATCACCTTTCACAGTTTAAAATCGGTAAATTTCAAATTCGATTTTCTCCAATCTCAGGAACATGAAAATGTTCGTGTTATACTTTTGGAATCTTGGGCCCAACCAAAGTGCAGGCAAATTTTGGAACTTTCCAAAACTTTTCCAAAACAAATCTTTTTGAGAAAACATTTTGAAAATACATAACTTTGGAAACTGCAATTCTAATTTTCAAATTTCTTCTCAAAAGTGTGCTTGTATTTTTCAAGATCTATTTTCAAGAAAGATTCATTATGTTTCAAACATTTATCAGAAGCAAGAAAGATATTCCAAAAATGAAAAAAAAAAGTTGTTCTTATATGGGATTTCCTTTCAAAACTTTAGGTCCACCATCATAATCATGTTGATCTAAAATCATATTCACCCTTTTCTAAACCAATTCAATCCCTTTCCTTTTTCTCTGCAGAGTGAAAAGATAAGATAAGCAAAAAAAGGCGACAATATATTTCTTTGCATTGTTCCATTTCCACTTGTATCATCTGTTCAACCACAGTCGACAAAAAGACAAAAAGTTCAAAAGATGTCACCTGATCCATTCATTTTTTCTTCTCATGAATTTCTCGTGACCTGATTAAATTTCCACTCCTTTTTTTCAATTTTGTTCATTTGATAAGGTACACTGCTAATTGATACCGAAGTGATAGTAGATTTCGATCAAATTCGATTAAAAATTAGCATTTTATTTTAGTTTAAAAACCGTACATAACAGAATATTTATAAAATATGAGTGAGATTCGAGGAAATGAGATCCCGTAATTCAAGAATTGAGATGTTTTGGGCAGAGTGGTTTCAGAATGTTCACAGAAGTTGGAGGTTTTCTCAGAAGACGTCTCTTCAGTTTCAGAATTGATAGTTGGAGTAGGAGACGTTGACACCAACAGAACTGACAGTTTCCCAGGAATCAATCGAATTTCCGTACCATTTGTCAGCGTATTTTTCAGCTTCTTCGGCTTCGGATTTCAGAATTTCCTCGAATGGTTCGTCGAATTCTTCGAGAGAAATGATTTCCAATTTTCCAGACATTTTAGAAGAAGTGATTAGGAATGTAGCGAGGATGCTGAAAGTAGAGAAAGTTACTAGACAATTTTTGAAAAAAAAATCAGAAAACGTTAGACGAAAATTCAAGACAAAAAAAGAAAGAACGAAGAACACATCTTAATTTCAAGTACAAAATCTTGAATTTTGCACTGAATTTCTTTTTTATCTTCTCTCTCTCTTTTCCATTTCATTTTATACCCCAATTTCTCTTTCCTCTACTCTTCATCAGCCGTTTCCGACCCACCCCCTACTGATAACAGATCATAAGGGCAGATTTCATCATTGTTCCGAAATCTTTGATGCAGTTTTTTTTCTACGGACAGTGTTTTGTAGTTTGAGTTTGCATTCACTAGACATAACTGTTTTTTTTTCTATTTTATGATTGACAAAAGCAGTCATATGGGTTTTTATAGATTGTGCTGAATTATATTGGTGTTGAATGGAAGTTTTAAAAAAGAAGATTATCACCAAAGTCCGGGTGTTTCGGATCATGCTTGTATGAAAAAATCGGAGCTTTGAAAGAGAAAAGCTTGTGGGCGTGACCTAGTTTCTCTTCCACTGCTCTGATTTTCGCATACCAACATGCTACCATCTTACGGCTTATAGATTTGTAAAAATGAAAAATACAAAGACGGAAAATTTAGCACCACTTCTATTTCAAAATAAGTGTTCACATATATCTCATCGTCACAAAAAAATGGAGTTGGTCGCCGTTATTTACTATTAAAAAGGCCAACAGCTGAAGAGGATTATAGAATCATAAATAATTATTATTTGTGAGTTAAAAAACGAGAGACCTAGAGACGAGAGAAAATGACCAAAATAAAAACGTCTCTCGTCGTTTCTCTTTTTGCCTCTCCCAGCACCTCTTGGCACTTCGGGGACACCTAGTACGAATGGAGAAGGCAAAATTATTATTTTTGCAGGTCTTCCCCATTTTCAGATTTTTGTCAACGATAACAAAAACCGGGAGACCTGAAAATATGAGTGCTCGCAATCTGGGGAAAATCATTGAAACTATTACTTTCAAAACCTTTTATTCAGATTACGAAACAAAAAAACACTAAATTATTTTTAATTTAACACAGTCTATCTAACATAGTACAAAAAACTTTCTGGTTAAAAATCTATTACATATTTATATAGAGCGAACAAAATACAATAGAAAAAAGTTCGGAAAACTAAATTCGAACTATACCAAATTGGATATATTGAATCGAATCATAGGGTAAATCGAACTTTTCATATGACCATTATATACTTTATAGAGTTATTGAAAAACGATAAAGGGGGACTCCGAGAAGAGGATTTTTGTATTGATAAAAATGCTTGAAAAGTTGTGTATTTTCCTAATATTTTAGCGAAATTTTTTAAAACCAAATCCCTCAAAAATACCGTTGAAAATGAAAAGGGTTGCGAAAAGGGACGAGGATTTGAGTTCCCGCGCAGGGAGAAATCTAGGCCAAGACTGGCGACCGACAATGGTTTTTATGTGCCGGAAAAAAAACACGGGAATAAATTTTCAAGGTGTCCTGCGGCCGTGGCCTAGGTTTCTCATTGCTCGGGAACTCAAATCCTCTTCCCTATTCACCACCTTTTTTGGGATTCCGGATTTTCAAAAAGTTTGTTGGCAATAATATGAGGAAAATATATGACTTTTAAGCATTTTAATGAACCACAAAGCTTTTGGTCGGAGTTCCCCTTTAATAAGAAATAGACTAGAGCGCCAAATAGTCTAGAAAACATTCTTTATCAGGGAAAGGCAGCAAGCATTTTTCCAGGGATTCGGGTCAAACATGATAAATAAATAAATGTATGGATAATGAAAACCAAATTTTATAAAATGTCGAAAAGCGTACTGTAGAGTTGGTCTCCAAGATTCAGTTCTCCATTTAAGGAAACACGAGAATCAAGTTAAGTTTCAGCCTCAACAACAGTCGACCACTATATTATATACGATCTGAAACTACACCCGTGACGTGGTACAACCATAACTACTAGAGACCACTGCCACCCCCTTTTTCACCCTTTTCACATGACAAGAGATGATGCAAGAAAACACAAAAGTGACTTGATCCCGTGAGAAAATAAAAGAACACCGGAGGAGAAAATAGATGGAGAGGGTGCTAGAGAAGAGGAGAAAGAAGAAGAAGAAGTCTATTCTCATCATATCATTTTTCGTTTGTTTCTGTTTCCTCACCCATGATCACGGTCTTCTTCTATTTTCAGAACTCACCACCACGTGCCCATTCACCATCACGTTTCAATTGGTTCCCACACGTGATGACGTCATTGTTTTGTTGAAAGTTTTTGATCTTCAATGTGTGTATCTGGTCACCTAGACACTGTTTTTTTGTTCTTTAAAGAGTTTCATGTTGTTCTTTGAAACGATCAAAGAGTTCACAATTTGTAAACATTTTCCTTTTCCTGTAGAAAATAGAAAGAAAGAAAGAAAGAAAGAAAGAGAGAGAGAGAGAGAGAGAGAGAGAGAGAGAGAAAGAGAGAGAGAGAAATTCATTTTGAGGTGGAAAATCAAATAAAAAAGAATTTTGAACAGTCCAAAACTTCCTAATGTCCCTTTCTCGTTACAGCGCAACAGCGTACCACAAAAGTTCGAACCCTGCGAGAGATAAAAGTATAGTGTAAAGTACCTCGATGAGGCACTTTCGGGTTACTGTAGTGAAATGGTGTTAGTAGCAAAACAACCAAGGATGGAGACAGCTAGTATGCAAAGTTTCCTGAAATAAAGAGAAACAATTGTAACCTAAAAAAATTCATGGCACTTCTTCTGAAAACAGTTCTTTTGTTTACGGAACTCATACGAAGACGAACTAGTACTGTCCATAAACACTTCCTTCTTCTTCTTTTCCATTTCCCTGTATAATCTTCATTGTTTCATTCTTTGTACACTATAATCCACAGTTCTTCCCTTCTATACCACAAACAACTCAATCTTTCGTATCATATCCTCCTCCTCTTTTTCTGCCTCTTATCTTATCAAAATTAGCATCAAAAAGCACTCATGGACATGTTCTTTTCTTGCCTTGTGACCAAGTGAGACCACAAGGCGCCAGTTTTTCAGAGTGTTTTGAATCTGATGTCGAAAATTCACATTTTTATAAAAGAAGTAAAAATGTTTTTTATGAATAAATTTTCTATGAATTCAGCTATTACACAAGAAAAAAGTAATTTGTTTATTATGATGGTACCAAAAAATCGAAGCTGTGGAAGAGAAAAGCCGGTGGCCGTGGCCAGAGGTCCCACAATGAAAACTACCGTAACCTACTTTACTGACTGTCATCGAGTTTGCTGTTTTTTTCACCAAACAAGTCTGAAAATAAAAATTGTTGACAGTGAAAACTTGACTGAAAAGGTACGCGTATCGCAATAATAATTCCCAAAAAAGGTTATACTCCTAGGTTACTGTAGTTGTCGTTGTAGGGCCTAGAAAACTGAAAAACTAGTCTTATATTCACCCAAAATCTACATTTATACCCAATTACAGATTCCGAGAAACATATGAGACATGTATTATTTTATCATCCTTCTTGTCCCATTTGAAGGAGTTCTCGTATCAAAACTGAGGGAAAAACCTTTTCAATTTATTATATAAAACGGAAGCAACAACATTTCAAAAACAGATATAATGTGGACAACAATTCAGTAATTGGAATAGATGGGCGTATCAATGATTTGATCAGAATAGGAATTGTTCTGATTTGAGTTGACGAGCTGTTTGATGCCCACCATGGTCTGCAGATCTTGACGAGACTTGCTCGATCCAAAGCGCGTCTGCGAGAACTCAATTCCAGAGTATGTCTGAGCGGATGTTGGCTTGAACGTGAACAGAAATGGGTACTTCTGAAAATTAATAGAGTGAATTTGAAAAATTTAGAATTCACCATACCTCGCGGATGTGGGAGAGGTTCGAGTTGATCTCATCGCACTTCTCCAACGCGAGTGGAATGTACATGTTGTTGACCAGTTCGAGCACAGCTGAAATCATTTAACTCATAAAAACGTTTATATTCTCTAGAAACTTACCCAAGTCGTCGATTGGAAACTTTTTATTCAACAGAACTGGTTTTCCTGCTCCACCGAGGTTGCTGCAGGAGTCAGCTTTGCGAGAAGCAATTCTCACGATGTGTTCTGGAATTGGCTGATAGCTGAAAATAGAATGATTACGATGAAGAATTAGTGATGAGCTTACTGTGAATCAGTATTCACGTCTCCTTTCCAGATTGGAACATCGACTCCATTCTCGGTAGCACGATAGAAGAGAAGTCCTGGATTGGCAAAGATGCGCAGCTGAGCTGAAAGTTTTATAGTGATTACGTCATATCACAGAGCTGGCAAACTTGGCATGTTTTCAAGAACTTCGTCGGCTCGAAGCCCCGATTCGGCAGCACAACCTTCGAAGCATTTCGAAGATCCGTCTGCTCCACACTTGATGAAAATCATTCTCTCCATTTGACCTGAAAAATTAATTCAAGTATTTTAAATCGAATTTTTTAGAAAGTACCATTTCTAGGATTCTTGATATCCCAAGAGGAGGAGAACTGCGCAACGAGGCAGTTTCCAAGCTCAGCCGCGAAAATTCCGGTCTGAAAAACAAACAACATAAACAAATCTTCAGAAATAAGACACTAATTGTTTTGTCTTTCAACTCACTGCTCTTCGCGGAACTCTTCCAAACATGTATCGGCATACAAAATTGACGAGCTCCTTTACTTCTGTGTACATTTTGACTCTAAAAATTAGTAAAATTGATGGATCAATAAGAAAAACGAAAAATTTGGAAAAAAAATAGGTAAAAAAGTAATTGGCAAAAGCCAAAGCGAGTGAAATGCGAAGTGTGAAACCTCCCGCAACGAAAACAAGCGGACCTCCCATGAAAAAAACTGCAAAGACTGCAAGGTACGGTAGGTTCAATTTTTGTTTGAAAAAGTATTTTTCGGCGATTTCGAAGCTATAAAAACTAAAATAATGCAATAAATTAGATGGAAACTCATTAAAAGAAACTAACTGTCTTTCTCGTTCAACTAGTATTCGATATTTTATGGGTTTATTCACCAAAATGTTTAAAAAATGCCGAGAAATGCAAACAATTCCGCGAAAACTCGGACAATGAACCAATCTGGCTGAAACTTTGAAGAGAATAGGGCGAAACTATAGGGAACATATTCACAACATTTGGGTCAAAATATCCACTTTAAAAATTTGACTGGAATTTCAGCCAAATTTTCAGTGGTTATTTTGATAGAAAAGAACGGGGAGAACCAATTTCAGCAGAATTATTTCCATTTTCAGATTGCCATTTTTGGAGAGATTTACTTCAACCTCTACCCGGTTACTTTTCCACTATGCTCACTGAATGGCCATTCGAATGGTTTTGAGCTCTGTGAAGCCTGACGATGTCGGCTCTGGTGAAACACTGTGATTCGTGCACGATAGATTTAAAATATGAGAATATCAACTTCTCGGTTTTATAGTTTTTCCGATAAATACCGTTCGTTTTCACAAAAATAGATGCATTTTCCGTTTATTTGTGACCCAATCGAAAAAACTAGAGAATTCTTCGAATAATGTTTGAAGATTCAAAGTGACTACAAGATCAGTTTTGAGTATTGAGTTTTGAAAGAAGCTCTAGGTGAATATGAAAGAAGCTCTAGGTGAATCTCGTTAGGGATTTTATCTAGAACTCCCGTTATAACTTTTGTGCCATATTTTCTTCTGATCAATAAATTATCAAATTAATATGATGTCGAGCGATTGATTTGAATCATACTTGCAACGGGTCGGGCCGGGCCGAAGCGAGAATTTTTCCGGCCCGGCCTGGCCCGCCCTTTCTCACTATCAGTAAAAAAAAACTTCCATTGAAAAAGTGAGACATTTTTTTTGAACTAAAAAAGAAAAAAAGTTACATACTTTTTAAAATTATCAAAGTAGAAAGTAGTCAAAAAATTTAGAGTTTTTGATTAAATTTTTAAACAAATTTTAAAATTTTCGAAAAAAAATTCAAAAAAATCAGCTTACGTACAAACAGCGGGCCGGCCCGGAATTTCGCAAGTATGATTTGAATTCGAAGTAATAAGCCTACCGTATTTACTGTAATATGTAGAAGCCCACCCAAATCGTCAACTTCGAGCCCATATTTCTCATTTTCTGTAAGAGATATCACAAAATGGCCAACTAACAAAAGATTTATCATAATTTCAAAAATATCTTGTCAGTTAACCACTTTTTGATATCTTTCACAGGAATCGAGATGATAGAGCTCAAAGTCGACGACTTGTGTAGGTTTCTAATAGAGGAATTACGGTATATCTGGCTACTCGAAATCTAGTTAGATCTTTTGAATGGAAATTTTAATTCTTACTCATGTTTTGTGATTATCAATTTCCTACGAATTCTTATAACGTTATTCTTCTTTCCAGTTGGTTTAGTTCCCTTTGTATTTTCTACAGTAGTTTCTTCTGTCTGGATCAACGGATTGAGACGATTGTTGGGTCCATCAGTAAGCAAATCTTCTGGTTTAATTCGTTCTTGTCTGAAATTCTTCTGGTTGTGGTGATTGCTTAGTCAGAGAAACCACCTGAGAAGTCTTTCAACATCGGTGCTTGCCATCTTGCTTACGTAACTCGATGAGGATGCAGCAAACCATTCCTTCTCAACTGGAAGAGTGGGGGTTCACGACGATTACCATTTTACCACTGCAACAGAACAAAATATGAGTGTTCGTTCAGTTAGTATGTATAGCCAGCACTGCAATCTACACAACTAGTGATATGTTCTCAATCTTTCATCAATTGCCCCACAAATCTAGAATTTGAGCATCTGAACGGTTTTCAAATTGAACTTTCATCTGTTACCATTTCTTGTTGTCTTTCTCTGACATCTATTCAAGAAACTAGATTTTCTGTAGCTGTGTTTTTTTTTAGTTTATGAATTTTGATATATTATTCTAGTACGGAAAAATCGGAGCTGTGGAAGAAATAAGATTGAATCGTGCCGAAGGCAAAACAGAAACAGAAGTCAGTTCGATTTAATTTACTCGAAGCAAGTAGGGTAATAAAAAAAAGTCTGAATGGCAATGAACCACCGCGAGCAACTTGAAACAGCCTTCTCAAAAACAATAGAGAACATTCTGGAAAGTGCTGGAAATCAACAACAGCTGCATTTCTTCCTGTTCTTAGTGGTCGATCAATTTAGCTTACTGTATCGGCAATGGAGGAATATCTGAAAATGTTGAAAGAGTTGCATCATGAATACGGAAAACCAGCGAGTACGAACCATTCCTGTCCATACTCGTAAAATTCCGGGCCGGGCCTGAGGAAATTTTCAAGGCCCGGGCCCGGCCCGGAAGGCCCGGTGTCAAAAATTCTGTATTTTTGAGCCAAATTTTGAGCTCTAAATATAATTTTTTCCATTTTTTTTTTCGTTTTTTGGATTGTTTGTCTGTCTAATCAAAGAAGATCGAAAAAACTCGAAAAAAAATTTTGGTCGAAAAAAATCACATAAGGGTCCCCTCGAAAATTTCAAAATCAGTGAAATGACGGGCCCGCCGGGCCGGTCCGGGCCTCCGCAATTCCGGAAAAAGCCCGGCCTGGCCCGTTACAAGTATGTTCCTCTCTGTCTCCTCTTCTCAACGATTCTATGCTTCTTCACCGTAATCGAATGGTGAGATCTTCGAAAGCTCGTCGTGAGACTTCGAAAGCTCGTCGTGAGAATCTGTTCGAACTTCTCACGAAGGCGTCCGATGTGATTTTTCTTCAATGGAAATCGATTGTCCCAGTATAGAAGCAATCATTGAAGAGTTATTGGATCCTTCCGTTCTTATGGATGAATCAACTGTTAGTTTTTTCTCTTTTTTTATATTCCAAATTCCAATTAGGTTTTCAGCATCAACGTGGATTTCTAGCTGATGTAAGCGACATGAATGGGACCGTCCGTTCTCGGAATCCTAGTTTCAATTTCAACTACATTTCGCCTGTCTCCACAGAAAGGTCTCGTCGATCGGCTGTTTCATTGAAACCACTCAACAATACAATTGATTTTGATGCGGATGTTTCTTCGATTCTGGAAGTTCCTCCATGCTCCTCTCGTACAAGATCTCATGCTATTGCGGGCGAAGATGAAAATCACTCGATCATTGTGATGAATGACGATGGAATGCGAACAACGTATGTTTTTATTTTGTGTTAATATTTCAAAACTGATAATAATAATATTTAGAAGAGCTTATAACATGACAATCGATTTAACTGCTTCTGATGAAAAACCAGCCAGTTTGAACTTGTGGAATTTGAAACTTCGTCCAGGAAGCAACCGAAAAGTATGATGACTTTATTCAAATTTCCAATTTCAAATATGTTTTCAGATCGACAACAAGATTCGAAAGGAGATCCAGAGACAATTGGCTCGTGAGAACCCTTCGGATCTTTAGAATAACTTTCTTTGACAATAAAAATTCCACAGTATCTGTTGTTTAATATATATTTTAACTAAAAAATTTAAGTTTAAAATTTGAATAGGCCAAGGCCCAGGAGACTCTAAGCTTGTTTATCATAATATCACAAACATTTCATCAATTGATTTTTGATGTCTTGAAAATAATATCAGCTCCAACTTCACAGTTCAGGGTCCTTCTTTTACAGGTTTCACGGTACATCAAGTTCTCATAAAAAATCTTCTGACTCTAAATTTGTGTCTAATTTATGTCTCTGTTATGTTTTCTAAATTGATATACATTCCACATGACTGAAGCTTTATTTACCTTCTTGGAAATGATTAAATTAATAAATTAATAAATTGAGTTGCCGTAGCAGATATTGCAATAAGTGATTGGGAAAACAGTAGAACTGCTCCACCGAATGCGACGAATGGGAGGAATATTTTGAGGACATCTCTGGAAATCTACGTTGATCTTTCAAATGGAAATTTTAATTCTTAATCGTGATTTGTGATCACCATTTCTCTACGAACTCTTTTAACCTTGATCTTCTTCCAAGTTGGCTTAGTTCCCTTTGTAGTTCCTACAGTAGTGCTACTAGTAGTCTCATTTGTATGGGTCAACGGTGTGAGATTATTGTTGGATCCATGCAAATCTTCTGGTTTATTATGTTCTTGTCTGAAATTCTTCTAGTTCTGGTTGCTTGTTCAGAGAAATCACTTGAGATTATTTTCAACATTGCTGCTGGCCATCTTGCTTATGTAATTTGAAGAATATTCAGCAAACTATCCCTTCTCAACGGGAAGAGTAGAGAGGTCACGACGATTACCATTTTTCCCATCGAAACAGAACAAAAAGCGAGTGTTTGTTCAGTCAGCACCTATCATCAGTCATACCTAGCCATCACTTCATTGTCTGATCAAAACCAGTGATATTGTATGCAAAATTGGCAACTGTGGAAGAGAAAATATGGTTGCTGTGGCCACGGTCTCCCTAACGTGATTAGCAAGAGTTTTACTGCCTTTATTTTTTGTTAGTTTTCCGGCGAATTTTTATTCAGAAACATTTAGGTTTGCAACTTGCTCGGCTGCGGGTGCCAATACTTGGCCAAATTTCATGATTTTACAAGTGTTGGCCAAGCCTCCCACAAGTCTTGCACCAGCCTCTCACAAGTCTTAGCTAATACATAGAATAATGTGCTCGGAGACTTGTGCTAGACTTGTGGGAGGTCTGGCCAAGTATTGGCGCCGACAGCCGAGTGTCTGAAGGTTTTCAACAAAAAAGTTGTCAAAAAGCAATGAGAATCGAGGGAAATGGACTCAAAATCAGTTAACAGCTGTTTTATATTTTTAACAGGAACAGAAAAAAAATTACCTCAAAATTCAATTTTAGGGAACCCTGCTACCGTATTTCCTCTAATAGAAGGCAATCATATTGTCAACTTTGAGCCTTATTATCTCGATTCCTGTGAAAGATATCAAAAGTTTGTCAACTAATGAAATATTAGTGATGTTATGATAAACAATTTATCAGTTTAGAAGTTTTTGATAGCTTTCACAAGAATCGAGATAACTGAGCTGAAAGTTGACGGTTTGGGTGAGCTTCTATTAGAGGAAATACAGTCTTACAGATTTTAGGCAATACAACTGATTTGCCTGAAAATTGTCATTTCCCACTTTCCATTGCTCACGATATACTCTCCTGCCTTGTGAAAAACCATTCGAATCGTTCACTATTAGAATTTCTAGTCAAGAATTCATAAAAAGTGGGCGGAGTGTGAGACTTTCTCAATGGAAAAGTAAGAAAAAAGATATGAGAGAAGAAGAGAAACAGAGAGTGAAAATACACTCGGGTGTCATAGTTGCCCCCATTCTGCTGTTTTTAGTCTTCACTTGCTTTTTTCTTCGTTTTTTCCTATTTCGTTCTCCTAGTTGCCCCGGGAATGTGTTCTTATGAGAGACTTTTTTGGTAGACAATAAAAAGTTGAAACATTTGAAGAAGATGAATTTTTGGTTTTTTTTGCTTCTAGTTTGATCTTGAACACAAGCTTTCTTATGATCCTACTTTCCATACTTCGAAAAGTTTTTTCAGGATGTCGACAGAAGAAGAAACACAAGCGGATGATGAGTCGTTTGGGTCAATTACTCCAGAATTCATAGCTCATCTAAATTCAGAATTGGGAACGCCTTTTCTCAGAAACCGGAGTACTCCGAACAAATCTTTTTTGAGGAGAATCGGAGGAAAGAGAAGTGAGTCAGTGGCATTTATTATCAAGTACTTATTAATTATCTTTCACACTTTTTTTACTAGACGGTTCATTAGGCCAGAAATGTTTGTTCATGTGCACTGGATCACTGACTAATATCCGGAGCTCTTATCACAAAAAGTACGTATTTTTTTACTCATTTTACTTACAGCTCGAGAAGATGTCACCAGCCGATCGAGAACTGAAATCATAAACTGGGTTCTGGAAAGTGCTGAACTTATTAAAGGTTTGATAAATGTAAAGCTGAAAATGTGATTAGAAGAATGTCTGTTTTTTTCAGTTTGCATCTGTCCATATTGCCTAAAAATTCATTCAAGACGAGACAACACACGAGTACATATCAAAAAGGATCATAAAGGTTGGGAAGTTCGGGAGTTCATTGAAGGCGTCGACGCAAATTTAGATCATGTTCGACGGGTTAATGAAATTGGAAAATGTAAGTATTATATGATTCAATTTTCCAAACTGGATGGAAGGTTTGGATGAAAAGTCGAGATAAAACTGATAACAGAAATACGAGATGTCCTTAGGTGCCTGATCTGAATCGAAAATTACCCTAATACCGGCCCGCGACATGTATGGCTTCACACTTTCCAGTTTGAGCTCCATTATCTAAATTCCTGGACAGTATATCAAAATCCTGTCAACTAACAAAACACTTCTGATATTATGATTATCAATTTATCAGTTGACAACTTTTGTATAGCTTTGACAGAAATCGAGAACATATGACTCAAAGTTTAAAGTTAAAGAGCCACTAAGGTTTTATGGTATGCGCAAACTACCAAAGAATGGTTCCTTTGTTTTCTAATAATTTTGATGACTTTTATTTTGTTAAAATCCCTTAGATCGTACATTTTGTGCTGAACTAAATCTTTTTCCTTCAGTTACAGTACCTCCCCCCCCCCCCCCCCCCCCACCCCAATGGGAATGCAATATTTTTCCTTTTGTATTTATGCAAATTTCAACAAAAAAATTCACAGAGAAGAAGGTTTTTTTTAAAGAAAATTCAAGAAAAGTGATTGATGGGGAACTGAAGAGAATTTTAGAAAAGGGATAGAAATAGTTTACACTATGGATCAATCTCTGGATCTTAGAATGAGGATCAGCCAGGGGATAAAAATAAGATGATATATGTCGAGAAGTGGAAATTGAGAAAGTGAGAAGCGAAACAAATGTTCTAACTAGATTTCAAAGGACTGAAATTTGGTCATGCATGAAATCCCTCTTTGGAGATCAGAAGACTATTACACTTTGCTTCAAAGTCTCTAATTATCTTCTGGAGCAGTTTCGACTCCCTTATGAGAATTCATTTTTGATGCTAGGTGATGACAGCTCAATAACAATCCAATCTACAGTATACCATTACAACCAAAACACCTCATTTCCATCTTTCCTCTCCCATCACATTTGTAAAAAGTGTTCCCATTTTAGTGTCACTCTAAAAAGACGTTGGATCTGTGCAGAGATTTGCTCTTTCCTTCTTTTTCCTTTTCTTCTAAAAGGGCTCTTTCGGACTCTTTCTTCTCCCTCTATATCTCTTTTTGCCTCTAAAAATGGAGAAGAAGAATAAGAAGAAAAGGCCCGGGCGTCCCCATGGGACACAGATACACAAGTGTATCCGGTTGCCACGTCACGGACGGCGGACCCATCCATCCATCTATATCCTCTCCAGTGCTTCCTTTTGCTCCTCCGCGTAGAGCACCAAGATTTGAGAGATCTTCACAGGCACTTCAGTCCTCTTTTCGAAAAATCTTTGTGGACGAAAATGAAGAAGAAGAAGACGTCCTGCTTATGGATTGGATGATGACAAGCCTCTGTGATCCGGCCTCGACAACAGAGAGAATTCCCTTTTTCTTTTTTTTTCAAATATGTTTTCGAACTGGCATATTCTTCTGCTTACTTTTTTTTCAGTATTTCTTCTCTTCTATTGAAAACTGAGTTTAAGAAGTTTTACTTTAATTCAGAATCCCGGAATTTAGGCCAAGCCTTAAACAATACCTCAGCTCTAGTTTTTGTTTGTTCAATGATCTCAGTTTAGCGGACCAAAACAGTTACATGAATATTTCCAAAACGTTGATCCTATCTTAGTGTTTCATTTTCTTTCTGTGTTTCAAACCAAGTAATCCGATCCCCCTTCTTTTCCATCCATTTCTTTTTCTTTTCTTTGGACCAACTCCTCTTTTCCACTCAATCAGAGAGTCTCATTTTTTTCGCAGTTTTTCTCGTTTACATAGGACTCATTATTCGCTTTTTTTGCTCTTTCTCAGAATAAGCCCAGTTTATTGTTTTCGAACGCTTGCGGTTAATTTGAATGAGAATAGAATACTTTTAAGGGACAGAGAAAACTAGGATCTCTTTTTTCTTCAAAAAAGTAATGCGATCAAATTTGAGATCAGTTATCTCGATTCCTGTGAAAGATATCAAAAATCTGTCAACTGTTAAATTATTTGGAATATAGTGATAAAAAGTTTATCAGATGACAAAAATTGATATCTTTCACAGGAATCGAGAAATTTGAGCTAGGAGTTTGAGTGGGCTTCTAATAGAGTAAATACGGTATTCTGTAACTTTTTGACATTTTTAAAGGCAAGACATTTGATTCTTATGAATAATCCCATCATATGTAGATCCATATATCCTACAGTATGCTCAATGTTATTTCTTCCTCTTATCTATTCACCAAATATCACACATTTGATTATTCAATTCATTCAATCCTTTTGTGTGCTGTCTTCTTCTCTTCTCTATCCATTTGATGCGATTCCCATGATTATCATAAAGTGAGTCTCAATGGATTGAATGGAGACACAGAGAAAACCATCCGATCATTCTGTCCTCTGTACTTTTTGATAAACCATATTCACATTCAGTCTCATGTGATCTCTTATTTCTGGACTTTCAGAAAAGGGGAAAACGTCTTTTGGTATTTTGATTGTTTGAAAAATCGGAGCTGTGGACGAGAAACGCTGGTGGCCGTGGCTGAAAGTCCCACAAAGAAAACTACCGTAACCTAAAAATGTTTTCATTTACTCGGATTCACAGATACTCCGGCAATTTTTAAGATGGGCTAGCCCACTTTAGCAAAAATAATTTTTGAGCATTCAGTCAAAAAATGATGGCTGTCAATTCTCGATTTTCTGAACTGTCTTTCAAATGTTCCAATTAGTAATGTTCATAAATTCACCCCAAAAATAGATAATTCTTATGTTACAAGGCTTCAATTAGCGACAATGTACTTTATGTCTTGATAGAATGACGTTAGTTATCTATTCGAAATTCCACACTTTCTCTTCATTCGTTGACTCCAAACACTTCAAAAATATTCCTACGAATTCCAAAGTAATAATTCAGTTATCACCTGTTTTTTTCTCCGTTTTTTATGATCCATCTGTTTTATTTTTCCATTCGTCTCCGCTTCTTTTTCCGATTCTAAACTTTCTTTTCAATTTAGAAATGTCACATATCAATCTCTACTCTCTTCCAACTGATCAAAAGAACATGATTCGATGTCGATTTTGTGTGAAAGTCTACAAAATTGACAATGGATCTAGTGGTTTTATCCGTCATCTTCGGTGCAAACATCCGGATTCTCTTTTTCAAATGGGTGGCTCTCCCACTGATAATTATTCTGGAAAAGAGCAAAAACTGATTCATAATGATTCGTTTATAACTGAAGCTCCGCCCACTGAAAATAATAATGACATTGATATGGAATTAGAAGGAAATAACGATGTTTTGTCCATAATGATGCAAGATATGACCACGAGTCAGTTCATTGCAAATTTCATGAACCAAGCGGAGTTTGATGGTGATGAAGAAAGTAAGATATTGTTAGATAGAAGCATGTAGCAAAATTCAAAACACAATCATAACTACTGGAATCGTTAAACTATTATACCTATTTTTCAGTTAATCGAGTAGTGGATAAACGCCCTCGAATTTCTCAAACTTCAGTCAGCACATCGTCAACTTCGAATCTTCTGGAAACTAATGAAGAACAAGAGCTTAAATTGTTCGATAATCCACTTCACATATTTCTCAATGACAGTAAGATCTGGCCTAGTTATCACGAATACACCCATATATTTTTAGTCAATAAATTAGCCGAACAAAATGGAGAGTTCTCGGAGGCTAATGAAGAATCCAGCTCATCAGCAAGTGCAGTAGACATTTCGACTTCTACAAAAGGATCTAGAGAACCTACTCCCATATGTAAGAAACTTAAAATTACTGTAAAGACTCTAATATAAGGCTACCCTATGCTCGCACTTTGAGCTCAATTTCTATGAAAAATATCAAAATCTGTTAACTGATAAAATGCTTGTCATAATATCACCAACACTTTATCGCTCAGAACATTTTTCATATCTTTCATAAAAATTGAGATAATTGAGCTCAAAGGGCGAGTATAGCCATACAGTATAGGGTATTAGAGTGTCCCATTTCAACTATTTGGATGTTTCAGATAAGTCGGATAACATGGAATCGCCACAAGTTTTCAACCCGTTGACCCCATTTGGATGTGTTTTCTGCCAAGCATCCTATCACCGAATCAAAGACCTCACGATCCATTTGAACCGCGTCCACAGTACTCGTTATCGCTGTAACTGCTGTTTAGCCCAGTTTGTGCAACCTCAACATCTTGAACACCATTATTCCACCTGCCACGTCATCGAGACACTAGGAAAACAGGAAGTTATGAATAATCAATGATAGTGTGGTGCAATGATATTTTTGGGGATTCTGACATATTTGATAATGTTCAAATCATATATATTCGTGTAGTTTCTTTTTGTTTGTTATTATGTGCTTGACCTATTTGAAATCAATACTTGTGATAACTGGATCCCTAGAAAAATTTCCTCTGGTAATTTAACGCTTCAATAAACGTTTTACAAATTTGATAATTTTTTTTGAGTTTCGAAAAAGAAAAAAGATAATCCCGGTTATTGATGTACTATTTCTTGAATAAAGTTATACGGTTCAAAAAAATTTGTCTTCAAAAACTGTATCTCAATGTTGCGACCCTAGTTCCATCTCAAAAAATCTTTTGGCAGGACCAAATCCTCGTTGTTCCTAATCCTCTCTTCCTCCTATTTCATCTAATAATATGTCTTCCTCTTATTCTCTCTCTGTCCCTCTTCAACATAGAATCATCATTATTTACCTGACTTTTCCTCTCTTATTCCTCTCCGCTTTTCATCGTTCATCGTTTTCCGTTGTGTCAATAAAAAACGGAAAGGAAAAAAGAGAAACGAGATGGAGGACATGTCAGAACCGGACGATTGCCCCGTTTTTTTGTTTTGTTTTAAACGTCTGGCATAATTATTAGAAACAAGTTGAACCTGAAAAGCGACATACAGTAACATCAGATATGAATTTCTCTAAATTAGATAGATTTATTTAATTTGAAAACAATATTGAATTTATGATCTTCTTGAGTACGGTGTCTATCTGGAATCGTTTCTTTCTAACTTAAATGAAATCAGTGTCATTGACCAAGTATCTCAGAAGTAATCTTATTGTAATTCATAAACATGTGTTTGAATTTTCTCTTCTTTCTTCCGATGAATCACCGTCTACGTCTATGATTTCTCTTGGATCTGCGTTGTCTCTCTCCATACCCGTTTTCTTCGTTCTCTCTGCCACTTTTTGGTATATTTCGTCATTTTTTTCTTTTTTGGTTTACGAGAAGCTTATGTTTCTATTTCTTGTGCTGTAGACTCTATTCTGTTGCAGTGAAATATCATAAATGTTAGTGTCTTGTTTCCTGTGGCATTTTCATTTACTCCTATGAGTTTGATAACGGAGATTATTGAAAAGAATGACTCATTCTTTAAGTTTTCTTAGCTCTAATTTAGAATGTGGCTAGGTAAAAAATCGACTAAATATATCGGTTATCTCTATCACCTGATAATCAGATCAACGCACCATTCTTCAAAATTTCGAATTCGAGCCAAGAGAACAGTGAGCTTTTACATTGTCCTCTTTAATTCCGAGGGAATACATTCCAGAGAAAGTGGGCGAATTTCACTGTCCAGTTAAATTGGTATTTTCTAACGCTCTCGATATGATTCTGACGCATTCTCCTCAAACATCTATCAATATATCAAGGGCTAAATTTGTAAATATGTTCTCATCATCGTGATGTGACTCATCCTTTTTGTTCGAATCTGCGTATCTCATTCTTGACCGTCTCATGTTTCTTCTGCCAATTTCAAACTCCGTGTGTTCTATCTCTATAACTGAACACACAAAAATTGATTTCACAATTTGTCCTTGAGCTAAATACTTTTTTAGAGTTATAACATTTGTCAGGGTTGCATATAAAAACTCAATAGCAGCACAACTTCCGTAGTTTGAATAAAAATCCTATTCGGTCGAACCGTACCTAGGCCTCCACACAGTCGAAGGTCATTTTTCAAAGGTGGCAAAGATGAGATGTAAATGAAGATGGGCACAATTGCGAAGTAGTCTCCGTCCGTTCGGCCTCTTTTCTTTTCAAAAAGTCTTCTCACCTCAATTGGTCACTCTAACTGTCTGTGTGCGTCCCCTTTGTAATTGTTTCGCCAGGTTGAACTACTTTTCATATGAGAATATGTTATATTTGAAGCCAATTATTTTTGCCTTTTATTCTTTATCATTTATGTCGAAAATTCCAAGTTCCAAAACTTAGCAATATCGGAATATTCCGGTTTTGAAAAGTTCGGAGATTTTTTTTTGAATTTTTCAACATTCACATTTTAAAGTAGAAACTCAATTTTTCCATCACAAAAGCACTAAAAATTAGTGAAAAATTAACAAGCAGATTTCCAAAATGCAAAAAATATATACAGTATTCCATTCCGCTCGAAACCCGCAAAAAACTTTCTACGTGCGCCTTTAACATACCGTAGTCCAAAAGTTCTTCGTCCCTGCTATTATTACCCAAAATAACGAAAAACAGTTTCAAATGTCTTCAGTGCATTACTTCCTGCTCCTGTTTTTACTTTCTTCATTCGTTTTTTTTTATTCCACCACATCAATCTTTTGCCTCTTTGTTCCCTCCAATTATGATGGAAATTACCGGATTAATCTCTCTTTTACTCTACAGGTGTAATAAAAACGCGGCAAGAACTTGGTTGACAGTGGCATTTATAATCCTAATCGTACCTCTTCCAATTCAACTTTTTCTTCTAGCTTTCTTGTTTTGTTCCTCCTTTTACCAACATGTTTCTCAAAATTTATTTTCAGGCCACAGGATGGCGTTCCATTGGCAATCAAAAGTGAACGTACAACATGTTGGTGTTGATGACATGGTTCTCCTTCCGAAGCTCACCGAACAAAGTATAGTGGAAAATTTAAAGAAGAGACTACAAGCGAACAGCATTTTTGTGAGTTTTTCTTCAAGTTAAAATGCTCATGAAATAATTTTCCAGACCTACATCGGACCGGTATTGATATCTGTGAACCCCTTCAAGCAAATGCCATACTTCACGGAAAAGGAAATGCTTCTCTATCAAGGTGCAGCCCAATACGAAAACGCTCCTCATATCTACGCCTTAGCAGACAATATGTATAGGTACAGACTGATAGTGAGAAAATTATTTCGTAGAAATCAGCTTTTAGAAACATGCTTATCGATAATGAATCTCAATGCGTCATCATTTCTGGAGAATCAGGTGCTGGTAAAACAGTGAACGCCAAATTTATCATGAACTACATATCCCGTATCTCAGGGGGAGGTCAGAAAGTGCAGGTAAAACTTGATACAATTTTTTCTCTAATGAGGTTCTTCAGCACGTCAAAGATGTCATTCTCCAATCAAATCCTCTCTTAGAAGCTTTTGGAAATAGTGCCACAGTTCGAAATTGGAACAGCTCTCGATTCGGAAAATATGTAGAAATTGTATTTAGTAGAGGAGGCGAGCCGATTGGTGGGAAATTATCCAATTTTTTGCTGGAAAAATCTCGAGTTGTCCATCAAAACGAAGGAGACCGAAACTTCCACATTTTCTATCAATTGTGTGCAGGAGCAGATAAAAACTTGAGAAGCACTCTTGGGATTGGAGAACTGCAATATTACAATTATCTAAACATGAGTGGAGTTTTCAAGGCAGATGATACTGATGATGGGAAAGAGTTTGAGAGTACACTGGTAAGATTTCTTTATAAATAGAATATCCGATATTTATTAAATTTTTGCAGCACGCATTGAAAGTAGTAGGTGTGAATGATCAGGAACAGTTAGAAGTGCTTCGGATTGTCTCCGCAGTTCTCCATATCGGAAATATTTCGTTCACTGAAGAAAACAATTTTGCAGCTGTCAGTGGGAAAGATTGTATGAGATTGGATACTAACTTTAATTTTTTTGTAACATTGAAAATTCCAGATCTCGAATTCCCTGCCTTTCTTCTTGGCCTCACCAACGCTGACATCGAATCGAAACTGACGGGAAGAAAAATGGAGAGCAAGTAAGTATTTAACGAATTCAATTTCAAAATTAAATATCAATAAATTTCAGATGGGGTACACAAAAAGAGGAAATTGATATGAAGTTGAACGTTGATCAAGCAAATTATACGAGAGACGCTTGGGTGAAGGCCATTTATGCTCGGCTTTTTGATTACCTAGGTACGATTTGCACCCTGTTCTCAAACTGAAATGCTTAAATTGTTCAGTAAAAAAAGTCAATGATGCATTGAACATCACTTCTCAATCTAGCTCAGACAACTTCTCCATTGGAATTCTCGATATTTACGGATTCGAAATTTTCAATAACAATGGATTTGAACAATTTTGGTGTGTTTTAATTCCGAAAAATAAACAATGAAATTTCAATTTCCAGCATTAACTTTGTCAATGAAAAGCTCCAACAAATCTTTATCGAATTGACACTGAAAGCTGAGCAAGAAGAATACGTTCGAGAGGGTATCAAATGGACAGAAATCGACTACTTTGACAACAAAATCGTTTGTGATCTGATTGAAGTGAAACGACCACCAGGAATAATGAGTCTTCTTGACGATACCTGTGCTCAAAACCATGGACAGCGAGAAGGAGTTGATCGTCAGCTTCTGACAACTCTATCGAAATCATTCGCAGGACATCCACATTTCGGACCGGGTTCAGATTCGTTCCTGATAAAACATTATGCTGGAGACGTTACATATAATGTCGACGGATTCTGTGATCGTAATCGCGATGTTCTTTATCCTGATCTCATTCTTCTTATGCAAAAGTCTTCGAAGTGAGTATTCTATTCCAATTATGAACAACGTTATATCCGAATTTTCAGCGCTTTCATCCGATCACTTTTCCCTGAAAATGTTGCCGCATCTGCTGGAAAGAGACCAACGACTTTCTCAACAAAAATCAGAGTAAACCAAATAGAAAAACTTTCCAGAAAGCCAAATTTAATAATTACAGACTCAAGCCAATACACTTGTCGAATCTTTGATGAAATGTTCTCCCCATTATGTTCGTTGCATAAAACCAAATGAAACGAAACGACCGAACGATTGGGAGGAGAGTCGGTTAGTCATTTTGATCTGATTTATAGGAAAGTATTTTATCCTTCCAGAGTAAAACATCAAGTAGAATATCTTGGACTCCGCGAGAACATTCGTGTACGACGAGCTGGTTTTGCCTACCGGTAACTGATGGTATATTAGCCCTATCTGAATAATTTTTTATTTTAGTCGAGCATTCGATAAATTCGCTCAGAGATATGCAATCGTGTCTCCTCAAACATGGCCTTCATTCCAAGGAGATCAGCAGAGAGCATGTGAAATTATCTGTGATTCAGTTCATATGGAGAAGAGTCAATATCAAATGGGAAGAACAAAAATTTTCGTCAAGAATCCAGAATCGCTTTTCTTGCTGGAAGAGACTCGCGAAAGGAAGTTTGATGGATTCGCCCGTGTAATTCAGAAGGCATGGAGGCAGTTTGCTGCCAGAAAGCAACACATCAAACAGAAAGTATGTTGCTTTTACGATTTTGTGAACTAATTAATTAACTTAAGGAACAAGCTGCTGATTTGATGTACGGAAAGAAAGAAAGAAGACGTTACTCATTGAATCGCAACTTTGTCGGAGACTATATCGGTTTGGAGCATCACCCAACACTTCAATCTTTAGTTGGAAAGCGGCAACGTATTTTGTTCGCATGTACTGCGAATAAGTATGACAGAAAATTCAGAGTGAGTTCATGAATTTCATTCAGCTCTTAAATTTTGAGAATTTCAGGCTACTAAACTGGACATGCTTCTCACTGCTAACCATTTGTTTTTGATAGGTAAGGAAAAAGTGAAAAGTGGACCAGAGAAAGGGAAGATTGTGGAGATTATAAAAAGGTATGTTGTTTGGGACTCTCCAAAATTCTTAAGTTAAAACTTCAGACAACTGGATCTTCCACAAATAAAATCTATTGGGTTGTCTCCATATCAAGATGATTTTGTGATAATATACATGAATGGTGAAGAATACACTTCTCTTTTGGAAACACCGTTCAAAACAGAGTTTTGCACAGCTCTTTTGTGAGTTTTGAAAATAGGAAAGGTGATTTTCAAATTATTTTATTTACAGAAAAGCGTATAAAGAGCGGAAAAACAGCCCCCTCCATCTAGATTTCCGAGATACTCATGTTGTCAGCTACAAGAAGATGAAATTTGACTTTTCTGATGGAAAGCGCACGGTTCAGTTTGGTTGCGATGGTTCTTCCTCAGCAGAGAAAACATTGAAACCGAATGGAAAAGTGCTGAATGTCAGCATTGGTACTGGACTCCCAAACACTACAAGTAAGCCACTTTCACAATGTCTTATCAAAGAGAACCGTATTAATTTAAGGACCTTCAACGGAAAGACCACAAGGTGGTTATACTCCACGAAGAGATCAATTGAGAACTTCTACTCGAAGAACTAATAAGAATACACATGGAGCACAGCCTATGAGGGCACCGGTAAGTTTTTTTTGAACTATCAGTTATGTGCACTGCGAAATTCCTCATCTTCCTCACATTTCCCACTACACGCTCTCCCACAGAACATTTCCGAACTGCAAATTAATTTTTGATCTACAGAAAAAAGTTTGGCGCGATCACAATTGCAGGTCTAAAACCATAATTTCAGAATTTTTATCTGATTTTGTGGAGTTCCAAGATGATTCAAATTATTCTTAAAAAATTAATTAGTGGTTATAGATTCATGTATGGTCCTTTTCCGGAAGAAAAAATGTCAAAAATGGTCATTTTTGAAAGTTTTTTACAGAAAAAAATCTATCTCCTCTTTCAGTTTTTGACATTTCTAGGAGTTCTATATCTCAAAAAACCGCAATTATTTTCTCTACATTTTCTATGGACGAATTTTTAATTTGTCTGATAAAACATTTTTTTGATATTTCAAAAACCTTATGAAATTGCACAAAATCGCATTTTTGCGTTGTTTTTTGATTATAAAAAAAGTTTTATCAGACCCATCCATAGAAAATGTAGAGAAAATAATTGCGGTTTTTTTTGAGCTATAGAACTTCTAGAAATGTCGAAAACTGAAAGAGGGGATAGATTTTTTCTGTAAAAAACTTTCAAAAATGACCATTTTTGACATTTTTTCTTCCGGAAAAGGATCATACATGAATCTATAACCACTAATTAATTTTTTAAGAATCATTTGAATCATCTTGGAACTCCACAAAATCAGATAAAAAATTCTGAAATTATGGTTTTAGACCTGCAATTGTGATCGCGCCAAACTTTTTTCTGTGGATCAAAAATTAATTTGCAGTTCGGAATTGTTCTGTGGGAGAGCGTGCACTAATAAATCCGACCTATTCTCAGGTACCTGCTCACGCAATGAACAACAACTACAATCAGCCACCTCCACATGCGGCAGCTCCAACGCCAGTGTCTACAAATCATCAATATAACCAGGAACCTGCACGAATTCCAGTTATGGGAAATGTTATCAGTCAACTGAACAACATGAATTTGGCCGCGTCTGGAAATTCAAATCCAGCAGCAGGAAGAGGACCTCCTCCAGCGCGTGGTCCAAAACCTGCACCACCAGCGAAACCAAAGTTGAATCCAGTGGTCATTGCCGTATATCCATATGAAGCACAAGATACGGACGAGCTCTGTTTTGAAGCGGGAGATGAAATTGAGCTGATGAACAAAGGTTAGAATTCGGTTTTTCAATCGGTGTATTTTTGAAATTTTATTCCAGACGCTTCTGGATGGTGGCAAGGAAAACTCAATAATCGCGTCGGTTTATTCCCTGGAAACTATGTCAAGGAGTAATTTATTGGCAACACCTTATTTACATGATCTCGTTTTTTTTGCTAAATAACCCAAACGCCTATTTTGTGAGCACCGATTACGAGTTTTTCATATCGTACCATTTTAACGCATCCATATTAACCTATTGCTTGTGATAATTGCGAGATTTCTCTCGCTACTTACTGATTCTGTAAATGTATCCTGTGAACCTTTTTTAGAATTGAAAAGCCTTAAATTTTGTTGAAATTATATCTCACTGGTAACCAATAAAAGTGATTTAACATTTATTTTCAGTATTCACATGCAACATATGATAAAATCGGAAAAAAATACTGTTCTTTCAAAAAAACCGGTAACTAAGACAGGGTTTCATCGGGAACCCTGCAAAACACCTATTGTATTATTCTGGTACAAAAAAATCGGGGATGTTGAAGAGAAACACCGTGGACGTGGTCGAAGGTCCCACAACGACAACTACCGTAATCTTAAAATTGTATTTTTCAGAAATTATTTTCTCGAGCTCTTCAGTCAACTTCTTCACTTTCAATAACTTTTCATTTTTAACTTGTTTCGGGAAACATAACGGAAAATTGACAAAAATCAGAAAAACCGAGAAAATAATAAATCCGGAAAATACAAAACTTTTAGGTTACTGTAGTTGTCGTTGTGGGACCGCCGGTGTTTCATTTCCACGTTTCCGTTTTCCCCCGTTTGGGAAGTAAACTCTTTCAGAAATCGTGAATGGTTAATGATCAATTGCAATTAAATTTTTATTCAAGTTCGAAAAAATCGATTCAAGAATGGATAGGATACAGATTATTCATAAAAGAGAGATGAAAAATAAGTTAACATTTAGTTTCTCGCTACCGGTTTTTTGTAGCTTTTTGTGACATTTCTGGAGAGCAAATGATATTTCTCAATATCATCCAAAAGACGTTCCATCTTTTCCGTAATGACTCGTTTGTACCCCTCTTTATCCTCATTTTCTGAGCACATCATCAGTTTTCCCTGAATGTATTCTTTATATATTATAGGTGGTCTTCTACAAAAGAGACTACCTGAGTGACAGGGCCAAAAAGAGGCAACAAAGCAAGTCCTCCAGTGACAAAGTAGCAACGGTAGGATTCTTTCAACTGAAATTAACTGAAAAGTCTAATACATACATCGATAAACAACTTACCTGATCAAGGGTGTATGGTGCTTTTTCACTTTGAAGAGCTTCCAAGAAATATATATAAAACTGATTCAAGAGATGCTTCCAATGAGTCTGTCTATCAGCTCCAGAGAGAGTTGATACGAAGAGACGGACTATATCTTCAGCTGGATTTCCCATATGTATTCCATGAATAATGTACGTTTCGAAAATGTTAACAAGTCTGGGTCTACTTACCGCGTAGTCGATTATTTTATCTGCAATTGGTTTTCCGTTTCTCTCCTTCCATAGAATATTGGTGGACCATAAATCTCCATGAACTAATACCGGTTGATTGATTCCTGAGTCAGAATAAGTTTACTTCAGTTTATTACTTGATTTGCTCCTTACCAACATATTTGTTGAGGTTACAAGCTAGCTCAAAATTCACAACTCCATGTCCAAAATCCTCAATCTTCTTCACTTTTTCATCCAATTTTTCGAGGTTGATAAGACGAGCCTGCTGGAGAATTCCTTTAATTCCATCTGCAGTTAGAGCTGGTCCAGCCATTTTAGCAAAATCGAATCCACTGATGCTATTCTTCTCTTCCTCGTTCAACTGAAGGGTACCGGCTTGGAAATAAGCAAGTGATTTCAGAACCTGAATACCGTAATTAATAAAACAAAGGTGTTCCTAGTTTTCTTACTGGATAGAGTTCTATCGGTTTCACATTGACATACAAATGTCTGACAACACTATTCTCAACGTATTCCATCCCGATGAATCCTTTACTTTTATTATCAGAATCGAACTTCTTGGAGAAGTAAATTTTTGAATTGAGCAGTGTTTCTCCTTTTTCCCACTTTTCCAAAATTGTATTCATATTGACTTCTCTGTTGTGAACTCCATGTGATTCTGCCTCCAACATCATCATAAGTCCTGCTTCTTGTTCTTTGCTCATGGAATTTGATCCCATCATTTGTCGTATTAGTCCTTGAAAATGAACACAATATGGGATTTTTAAAACGAATTTCGAAGGAAGATGATCCGCATCGACGGTCCAATCAGGTTCAACTAGTATGATTCGGCTCATGATTCCCTTAAAAGGAGCGTCGGATGAATTAATCAAAGTACGGTTGATTTCTTATTTTCTTAAGTTGCTCATTTTTTGAATCATTCAATAAACAGTTTAAAAGAAGCATCAATATTACTGAAACTATGTCCGGTTCTGAGCAGCATACAGATCATCTGAATGAATTTTCTCAAAAAAGTTGTTAACTATAAAATTAGAGATCTGATTTGGATTCATTGAATTGAAAAGTTTCAGACTTCAACAAAAGTTCCTAATCCCTTTTGTAGGCGTTTACCGTATCTTGTCTAATAGCATCCCAGCCAAATCTTAAACTTTGAGCTCAATTATTTTGGTTCCTGTAAAAGATATAAAAAGTGGTCAACTGACAAAATTTTTCTCATAATATCAACAATATTTTTTTAGTTGGCACAAAGTAAAAAGTAAAGAGTAGGGTTCTCTCACAGAGTATTTACGGTTCGGTATATCATCTGAAAGAATTTTCTCAAAAAAGTTGTTAACTGAAAAATTAGAGTTCTGATATTGATTTATTCATTTGAAAACATTTCAGACGAAAAAGATATCTCATTATCCTTTTTGTGGAGATTCAAATGTTGTGTTCTTGAACGAAAACTGTAATTTTGGATACCATAGTTCCTCTAATATAAGCCCACCCAAACCGTCAACTTTGAGCTCAATTATCTCGATTTTTAGAAAAGATATAAAACTCTGTGAACGGAAAAAAGCATTTATCCTAATACCGTATTTCCTCTAATAGAAGCCCATTGGCTTCTATTTTCCAACCTCTCTCCCAAGGTGGGCTTCATTAGAGTTGGACTTCAATTAGAGGGTGGACTTCTATTTTTCAATGAATAATTTTCAAAAAAAATTGTGTTCAAAAAATTAGAAATTCGACAATTTGGAAGTTAAGAATTCTAAACTTTGGTGTTTTTTTAATTCGAAGTTTTAATTCTGCAATTCTACACTCCAAAATTCCGAATGAAATTCTGATATTCCAGAAACTGGAAATTCAAAATACAGGAATTCTGTAACTCAGAAATAGGGGAATTTTCGGTTTAGAAATTGAAAAATAGAAGCCCATGGGCTTCTATTAGAGGGTGGGCTTCTATTCGCGGGGTGGGTTTCTATTAGAGGTGGGCTTCTATTAGAGGAAATACGGTATCTCGCCGAAGGCGCACCAGCTTGCTGGTATATAAAACGCTAGAGGCGTTTGTCTGTCCTCTTGAGGATCTGCGGACTTTTGAAAAACTTGAAAAATAAATATAGATTTACGTGACCCTTTATGATAAAATGAGGAGTGGAGCGACAAACCAGTGAAAAACCATATTAAATCGCGTAGAAGCTTGCTGGTCACCAATAATTTATCAGTTGACACATTTTTGATATTTTTCGCAGGAACCGAGATATTTGAACTCAAAGTTGACGGTGGGCTTCTTTTAGATGAAATACGGTATATATTTTTGGAGATTCAAATATCAAATAAAAGAGGTTTGGTTAATTTCTTACAAAAATTTACCTTAGAGTTTGAAAAAGCACTTACATTTCCTTCTCCAATTAGAATATACTTGGTGTTCTTTCCGAGAATTGATTTCGTATTCAATTGCTCTTGAATCACTTCTTGAACATCTTGTAGTGTGACATGAGTATTGAAGAGTCCATCTCCGTTTTCCAGAATACTAAGCTGCTTCATTTTTTTCAAAAAGTAGAACTTTTGCAGTACTTTTGAATTCCGTTATATACCCAAAGAAAAACACACGCGTAGTTTATGCCTAGATTCTCAGCTGTGTTTTATGTGAAGAGACGCAGACAAAGAGAGACAAGAACACAACTTTTGTGCTCAAGATTGGAGACTTTTTTTGTGTTTTTGAACTTATTCTTGTAGTTATTTTAGGATACTTGTGTCACATGAATTCTGGATTATTATTAATTTGAGTTCGAAGAGTCGGATTCATGTTTCATACGGTGCAAAAAAAACCGAAGCTGTCGCTGAGAAACCCTGGTGGCCGTAGCCGAGAATCCACAACGACAACCAAAAAAGGTTTACAGAGGTGTGATACCATAGTAAATACACCGGCTAGAAAAAAAATGAAGAGAAATCGGCTCAAAATGGAACCAAATAAGAATATCTCTTCAATTTCTGGCCGTAGGCCGGATGATGCTAGTCGAAATGTTCAAAAATTCAATAATTAATCAAAAATGCGATACTTTACAAAATTCCATAAAAATCCCAAAAAAACCAAAAATTGATAAGACAAGAAATTGATCAGACAAAAAATCTATAAGAGAACCAAAAAGAGATGTGAAAAGATGTCAATTAGATTCAGTGCTTTAGTGCTTAAAAGACCCAATGGATTACTGTAGTTGGAAATTGTAAAGAATTAAATACTGTGGTTGAAATCCATAGGGTTATGGTAGTTTGAAAACGTCGAAGATTCCTGTAGTAAAGAAGTAAAAGTTTCGAACTCGGAAGTCGGAAGTTTGAAGCTCGAAGTCGGTGTGCTCGAGTAGATCCTTCTCTGCTGCCAGAAAGCTCAGCGTACGCTATCTATTGCTATTTCATTTTCTTTTAAAATTTGATTTCGGTCATTTGGTAAAAGGGGGACGTTCAGTGATAAACACCTAGCCATGAACCCCAAACAATGGCGACCCGAGGCCTTTTAGTACTTTTTTACTTCAATGACGTCGATCAGTCTTCAAAAAAAAAAGAAATAGCAATGAGTAGCGCACCCAAAGCTTCCTGGCAGTAGGCAGCATCTTCCTTCCAGCATCAAGCATCCAAAGTCGCTTTCCTTGCCGATCCTCCGCGAATCCCGGTGATCCTCGTCGAGCTTCGAAGTAGAAAGGCCAGTGGTCCTCGTAGGATCGGATCGGATCCCTTGTTATCCCAGCTGCCCTGGAACCACGTTGCAACTCGGACTCCTCATTGACTCCTCGGTCCGACTTCTGATTGATTTCTTCAGCTTATATAGACCCTGTAGATCAGATCTAGAGATAAGATAAGAGCATGAAAGTTGTCAGCACGCGCGAAAATTCTGATTTTTTTCTAATCATTCTTATAATAAATAAATGAAGTTGCGTCTCTTTGTTTCTCTCTCTCTGTCAGTCTGTCCGCAAATTTTGAAAAGCTGAAAAATAAAATACATATTTACGTGACCTTTAAAAAGAGTGTGAAGCGGCGAACAGTAAAGGAAAAAGGGCATTTCCAGCTGTTTGAAGCGCCGGAGGCGCGGCAAACAGGCTGTTAAAACAAAATAAATTAAGTAAAAGGTAGATTTACGTCGGATTACTATAGTTTTTGACTGTCTTCTGAAATCAAGATTAGCACCATCGCCGTAGATCAGTCACATCAGAACACCTAAAATTTGAGAATAGACAAAAAAGAAATTTCGAAGTCTCTCTCAGAATATCAAATTACGAATCTCAAAACCTCAGGTTCCCAGAATTTCAGAATTTCAGAATTACTGCAATTTCAGATTTTCAGAATTTCAGAATTTCAGAATTACTGCAATTTCAGATTTTCAGAACTTCAGAATTTCAGAATTTCAGAATTTCAGAATTTCAGAATTTCAGAATTTCAGAATTACTGCAATTTGAAAATGTATAGGCTTACTGTAGTTTGAAAATCTATAAGGCTACTGTAACTTGAAAAAAATTATTGGGTTACTGTAATTTCGAAATCTATAAGGTTACTGTAGTTGGAAAATGTAGAGGATCTTTCTAGTTAATTAGAGTATACCAGCCTGTTTACCGCGCCTCCGGTGCTTCAAACATCTAGAATTCACCTTTTTCTTTTACTGTTCGTCGCTTCGCGACTCACTCTTTGTTTAAAAGTTCACGTCAAATTATATTCAATTTTCAAGTTTTTCAAAATTTGCGGACAGAGCAACTTCATTTATTTATGTAAGAATGATATGTATGGTAGTCTAGAAAGAGCTATATGTACGATTTCGGCGTCCTTTTTTTTGAAATTTGACATTGAAAATATATCCTTTGTTTGGTCCCATTTTGAGCGAATTTCTCTTCATGTTTTCCTAGCCGGTGTATTTACTATGGTATCACACTTATCTGTTATCGCTGTATCTATTATTTCACACTTTTCTATGAATAGTTGAACTCCTTGGAACCTAATTGTACCATTTCACACCTTCTGTTTGGCAATTTTTCCTCTACATTTTCAATCTACAGTAACCCTATAGATTTTTCAAGTTACAGTAACCTTATAGATTTTCAAATTACAGTAACGCTATAAATTTTCAAATTACAGTAATTCAAGAATTCTGAAACTCTGAAAGTCTGAGTTTATTCTGAAACTCTGAAAGTCTGAGTTTATTCTGAAACTCTGAAAGTCTGAGTTTATTCTGAAACTCTGAAAGTCTGAGTTTATTCGAAGAGAAAAGGGGAGGGGCGTGAAAAATTAAATTTGGCTAGAGTGCAGACGACGAGAGAACTTTTCTAAAAACTTTCCTTTCACGCTGGGAGACCGTGTAGTTGGAGATTGTAGAGAATTAAATACTGTAGTTGAAATCCATGAGGTTATGGTAGTTTGAAAACGTCGAAGATTCCTGTAGTAAAGAAGTAAAAGTTTCGAACTCGGAAGTCGGAAGTTTGAAGCTCGAAGTCGGTGTGCTTGAGTAGATCCTTCTCTGCTGCCAGAAAGCTCAGCGTACGCTATCTATTGCTATTTCATTTTCTTTTAAAATTTGATTTCGGTCATTTGGTAAAAGGGGGACGTTCAGTGATAAACACCTAGCCATGAACCCCAAACAATGGCGACCCGAGGCCTTTTAGTACTTTTTTACTTCAATGACGTCGATCAGTCTTCAAAAAAAAAAAAAAGAAATAGCAATGAGTAGCGCACCCAAAGCTTCCTGGCAGTAGGCAGCATCTTCCTTCCAGCATCAAGCATCCAACGTCGCTTTCCTTGCCGAATAGTTTAACAGATTTTTTGAAAATTTCAAAAACCCTTCAAAAATGACAAAATTCAGTTGCTTTTTTAGAAAATCTATCAGGGCTTTTATTTTTGGGTCAAATCAGACGTTTTTTGAATCATTTTTGATTTGTTTTTAAATTCTCTACAATCTCTACCTATTTAAAAAAAAAATTGTTGACCCAGAATTTTTAATGCCAAAAAAGCTGATTTTCCACTGTATCGGGAAAAGATAAATCAGAAAAAAAATTAGAAAACCTCGATTTCCAAAATTAATCGCCGTGTACAGTTTTCCAACGTAAATCTACCATTTTCATAAATAATTTATTTTGTTTTATTAGAAAAAAATCAGAATTTCCGCGTGTGCTGACAACTTTCATGCTTTTTTCTTATCTTATCTCTAGATCTGATCTACAGGGGCTATATAAGCCGCAGAAATCAACCAGAAGTCGGGCCGAGGAGTCATTGAGGAGTCCGAGTTGCAACGTGGTTCCAGGGCAGCTGGGATGGCAAGGGATCCGATCCGATCCTACGAGGACCACTGGCCTTTCTACTTCGAAGCTCGACGAGGATTACCGGGATTCGCGGAGGATCGGCAAGGAAAGCGACGTTGGATGCTTGATGCTGGAAGGAAGATGCTGCCTACTGCCAGGAAGCTTTGGGTGCGCTACTCATTGCTATTTCTTTTTTTTTTTTTGAAGACTGATCGACGTCATTGAAGTAAAAAAGTACTAAAAGGCCTCGGGTCGCCATTGTTTGGGGTTCATGGCTAGGTGTTTATCACTGAACGTCCCCCTTTTACCAAATGACCGAAATCAAATTTTAAAAGAAAATGAAATAGCAAATAGCGTACGCTGAGCTTCCTGGCAGCAGAGAAGGATCTACTCGAGCACACCGACTTCGAACTTCAAACTTCCGACTTCCGAGTTCGAAACTTTTACTTCTTTACTACAGGAATCTTCGACGTTTTCAAACTACCATAACCCTATGGATTTCAACCACAGTATTTAATTCTTTACAATTTCCAACTACACGGTCTCCCAGCGTGAAAGGAAAGTTTTTAGAAAAGTTCTCTCGTCGTCTGCACTCTAGCCAAATTTAATTTTTCACGCCCCTCCCCTTTTCTCTTCTTTTTGGGCTAATAGAAGCTTATCACTAGAGTAATGGAAACCACTGAAAAGAACGAATTTGAGCTATTTTAATAGAAAAAAAACTATCTGATGTATTCAGATGACTTCAGCTATCAGCTATAGATGATGACTTCAGCTATCACCAGTACAAAACTTTATGAAAATTGGAGCATTTTGAACAAATTGATAAAAACCGATTTCATTCAACCGTACATAACTCTATCAGGTTCTCACGGAATCCAAAAAATAAAAGCGTCATCAATACCGCAGAGACATTTGCTACAATTGCTCCGTCTTCGATTTTTGATTTAGGTCCTCTTTTTTTTGAAAATCTTAATAAAGTGTCAAAAATCGGGGGTTTTTGGGAATTTTATACTGAAATTTGTACCCTGCAAAACTCTGCAAGTATTTAACCGATCATAATGATCAATAGACCAAAAGTTTTGTAATGGAGGGTTCTACAATTCCTCCGTCTTCGATTTTTGATTTTCGTCTCTGTTCGGATGTTAGGGGGTCAAACAGTCGTCCATTGAGAGATTTTGGACTTTGGAGGCGATTTCCAGTTGGTTGAAGGTGGTATTTTTTGTAAACCCCAATCAAATATCGAATCTCCCATGTTTTCTAATATGAAGGTAACTTTATTTGTTTATAAAACAAAACGAGTTGACCAAAAACTCGAAAAGTCTAAAAAAAGTTTTCAAAGCTTCATATCTTGCTTGATAGTTTGAGATAAGTGCTCAAACTTATCACAGACGATCTCGGATATGGTTTCTATCATCCGTAAAAAAGTTTTAAAGGTGGTGTAAGGTGAAATTTTTTATTGCATCAAAATGTGCAGAAATGCATGTAGATTGGCAAAAAAATAAAGAAAAAATTCAAAAAAAATTCTTTCATCGAGAAAAACGCATCGAAAAATACGCTGAAAGCCTTTAGGGACGAGGTTTTTTCTAGGCCGCCCGGTGAGTAAAAGCGCGCGAATTCAAACTTTTAAAATTTTTTCGCTCGTTTTCACTGTTTTTTCAAATTT